AAAAAAAGAGCTCACGAGGTTTAGCGGTCGATCTGTCGTCATCTCAGCTGCGAGGATATCCAGGATCTGTCGGCAAGTTGCAGACTCTAGACTCGTTTGTTTTCTGTTTGTATCCACCCCGAGTTGCTTTCTTCGGCTTTCCTTCCTGGCGGCCAAGGATCTCTTTCGATACCATCACCGACGGACCAACAGAACACGACTCGACACACACGGGCTGTTCCGATGCTGACACTGATGCTGGCTGCGTGCGTACCGGATACGTCCCAAACTTCTTTAAAATTGGCAGGGCTGGCTTGGGCTGCAGAGGCGACAGAACGGGAATGGGGTGGAGAGCATGAGCTGAGCTGGAGCTTGTTGTCTTTGATCCTCAGGGCAAGGGAGGGAGAGAAAGGAAAAGAAGGCCCGGCCGCCCCTCCAAAGAGTCTCTTGAGGTCTCTTTTTTTTTTTTTTTGCCCGCAATAAGATGGATCAACAATTCATTTATAGCAAGGTTTTGCTTCTCCCTCATGTCCCTCCCGTTACCCCAGTTCTGGCTCTGCGTGCCTTGTCCCCCATCATGTCTTACTCTACTTGGCAAGGCTCGAAGGTCTATTGCAGTTGCTATGAGCTCGAGCCAGATATTCAGCCATATATGTCACTGGCAACACTAAGGCAGGCAAGTATGTGTGAGTGACATAGAGAAGCGTGTGTGTGTATGTGTGTCTGTAGCAATCCGTCATAGTATCTCAGCATGAGCGTCATAAGGGGGGTGTGATCCTTGAAGATTCTGCTCTGCTCTCCATGGTCGCACAGAAAGAGGGAAAAAAAGAAGAGTGTTACGTGCAAGGAGAAGCGAAATATGTATGGTATGGTGTCAGTTCGTGCTACCGTGCTGCTGCGAGCGTGGACTAGGTGATGGGTGTCCCTCACTTCATGCTATCGTTGCCACGGAATGCTTTCTTTTTCCGCCCCGTCTCTGTGGACACCCCATTTCGAGGAATGTTGACAACCCTGGTCTCCTCGCCGGGGTGGATTACCCGGGCGATCGTCCGCCCCAATCGCGCGGATACCCCATCTCGGGATGTCCGTCATATTTCACTTTTTGGTTTCCGCCGCATGACAGCGCCACCTTTGTGAGAGTTCCTCTTCTCTTGGGGGGAGAACCGAGAGAGAAACATGGTGCCTGGAGCCCAAGTGTGCCAGTACCCGTACCTTACCTACACAGTAGCAGGTGTATCAAACAGCAAGCCTGGCGCGGCCCCTCCCATCCCCCTTCCCCTTCATCTCGCTGCCCAATCTTCGATACCACGCACGTCTCTCGGGGATATGCCAGACAGGGATCCATGCAGAAGGTGAGATTTCACACTCCCGCCCGCAAATCGCCCATAGCTCTGGTTCATTGGCCTGAGGCTCCATGCCCAGTGCGGCTCGTTACAGTGTTACTATCGAATCTTTTTCGAGTCCCTCCTTCGACGAAGATCAGAAAAGTACTGAATCCCTCTACTATTCGTTGGGATTGCCGTCTTCCGAAGGTGGTAGCGCCGGGAGAGATGGACCAACAAGGCTGGTCGCAAGGAAACCATCAGAAAATGAGAAAGAAAAAAAAACCATTTGTGATCCCTCCGAGCTCGTGGATCGGATACTTGCTTTTTCTTTCCTTTTTCCAGTCCTTTCCTTGCAACAAGGAAATCCGCTGGGCAGAATGGCACTTTGCCCATGCCCCGGTAGGTATCCGTACTTTGCTGACTCGAATCAACTCATTCCACCCGTGTCGTCGATGACAACCAGGCGCAGTCTGGTCTCGAAAACACAACCTGGGGGCTGCCTGGCCACGGCCGAAAGAAAAAGAATGCGGCAAACGGCACGAGGAGAGACAAACGGATCCCAGTCGTGCCAGCAGCTTTCCGCAAGGGCCCTTGGGAAAGGGGGGCGAGAAGAGCAGGAGGTTACGACTGATTGCTTTTCAAAAAGTTGATGAGGAAGAAGAGAAAGAAGAAGCAGAGGGAAAATAAAGGCTAATTATCCTATTCTTTTCTTTCTTTTGGTTTGAGACAAGGGCAAAAAACATCCACCGTTTCCCTTGATAATTTGGCGGACTCTCATCATCAATACGCAACACAGACAAAATGGATGTGTACATGCGCAGTTCCCCATCTTTTTCTTTCCGCAAAAGAAACCATTTCTCGAGGGCCAGGCCCGCGGGTTTGTGCCCATGCCTCTCTCATCCAGCACATACGCCCGCCAAGTGTTCCCAGATAGAGGGTGGGCAGAATATCGAAAGGGGAGGGGGGAGGGGGGTATGTGATCGAGGGATGGGAAGGGTAGGTATTAAGCGGCAACCTTTTTTTTTCTTTCTGAGATCTTATACAATAATTACCCTCGGACCTTTTCCCCTTAAGCCGTATCGATCCCGCTCCTGCAGCCACCTGAGCTTAAGATCTTACATATACCCGCTTGAACCATCACCTCGGGACGTCGTCTGACAGGCTGCTCTCGCTCACCGGTATCTGTCGGCCCTTGCAACTTGCCTTGACCGAGTTGTCATGCCAAGTCCCCTCTTTTCAGTCTAAATCAACCTCTCGCACGCTCGCACGCACACACACATACAATACCCTCGTGTAGGTTTCGACGCCTGTTGAAGAACAAGACCGATGCTGACGAAGAAGATTCAGATCGCTTTTATAACTACTGTCAACCTCACCCTCTCTCTGCTTTATCAATATCTCTTCAACCCCACCGCCACTCACCGCCCGTCATGTGCGAGTGGTACCGACGCAACTACGCCTGCGGGCACCACTTCACGGGCGCCTCCGAGTGGTGCTACCGGTACAGCCAGACGCAGAAGCGGTGTAAGGTGGTGGTGACGCAGGTCGACTACGACTCGTCTGTGTGCAAGAGCTGTATGAAGAAGGGCGTCAAGACCGAGGTGCCCTGGGAGCACATGATTGACCGGTCCAAATTCGATCCCAACCAGGAATGAGAGACATCCAACCACCACCACCACCACCACTACCACCACAATCATCACTATCAGCATCGTCTTCCGGTGTCGTTGGCAACGAACCGTGAAAGACGACCGAAACACCCACACAACCTTTTCCTAATCATGTATTTGTTCAACCCAAATCGCCCACTGAAAGGCGAGAAACTTATTTCCAGGGCGAGAGAGAGAGATGGATCCTCCCAAGGCGTACCGGTATCTACGAGGCGGTAATCGGGGTCGTGTGGCCAGGCACGTCTATGGCTTATTAGAGCATCTGGGAGCGGCGCACCTTATACCCATTTGATTTTTATGATTGGAAAAAAAAACTTATTGGACTGTATCATGTCCTTCGATGGCGGTTGCATTTGGAGTTTTGGAAGCGGGATGTTCAGAAAAAAGAAAAGTGGTTTCTCAAACCCTCACCTTGGTTAGACTTTGTTTTACGCGTGTAATGGTCGGTTGAACCGATCGCCTTAATGTCGGATAGGGTATTATCCGTCTTTCGAGATATCGTGGTGCATCCTGCATGCTGCTTGCTGAGCGGCACGGCTATGCTAGCTTGGGGTGTCGACTATCTGTGTAATGGATGCGGACCGACGAAGGCTCACTTGTCTCGAGGCAAGTTTCGATAACGACTTCGCGGTGTAGTGGTGTACTGAGTTGGGCATCGATCCTGACACGGGTCGCGGAATGCCAAGTCTCAGATCTTAGACATGAAGCAATCTGGAGGGGTTGGCAAGCTGTGGCAACTGGATCAGGACCTGAAGATCTGTCTAGCCTTCTTGACAAATGAAGATCGAAGCAAGAGTTTCATGATCCATTTGCGTTCCGTAGTGGATGATACAGCGCATGGCATCCCATGTGCAGGTTGAGACTTGCCCAGCCTGGACACGAGGTCGTCAGGTAGCTATCGCATGGTAAAAGGAGGGGAAGAGGAGGTTTCGGAGCACCCAGCGGTCATGGATTTCTCGATCTCGAACTGACACGGGCAATTCAGTGGTAAGACAGACGGCCGCGATGATCCACGATCCGCGTTCCACACGGTACCGAAATCCTGAGACGCGCGCGTGCCTATGGCTCAGTGAGTGACGTTCAGACCGAGACAAGAGCTGACGCAAGGATAAGCCACTGGACAGCTGAGCTCTGAGGTTTTGGTGTGGTCTTGCGAGGCTAGAGTATAGGTAGCTGTGACAACGATTGTCTACGGCGACTGTTGGAATCGGGTCATGCCTTGGTGACCTCCGTACCGGTCCCGCATTTTCCGGAGGGATGTCGGAAGGTCACTTGCTTCTAAGGTCTTACACCGCAAGATAGTTTATAACTGGGGAAAGTCGGCCAGTACGGCGTCATGGGGTCCGACGATGTTCGGCGCTGTCGTCGTTGAGTATCGGAAGATGCACGGGCTTAGATCGGGCTCCCGGGCATCGTGGCAGTCACTCACGGCGCGGCGCCCCTTCCCACCATGGTCCGGCGGACCCACTTTGGAATTCGATTACATAATGAACCGAGTACTCGTAAGGTACTTGATAATCAAAAGTTCTACCTCGCATCTCAGGGCAAGGTCATGTCATATCGTGGAAAAGGTTCCTTGGAGTTCTTGATACCTTATTCATGGCAGATTTTTCCTTGCTCAAACTAACGTCCAGCCTTCTCGAGTCCTCGTAACTAAAGTAGAAGCTCAGAACCCAAGGCTGAAGGATGAAGAACGGTACGACTGACTCCCCACCACCTCGGGACCCCTCCACATCGGTAGCGCGGCGCCCACCAAAAATCCAAGAAAGGAGCTCTCAATGGCCCATCGCCGCAGTCGGCCACTTGATGGCTGCGACTTTACTTTGACAACCCCCACACCGCGATCAAAGATATCCACTCTTTCTCAGACCATCAGCTAATCCCGTCAGAGGATTAGGATGTAGTGGTGCACCCAAGGCGGTGGTTACCCAATGCCAAACCACGCTGCTCCGGGCCTAGCCAGTCCACTATCTGACCATCTAATTCGCCGAGTGTGAGAGGATTTTTCTCTCTAATAAATCGTCTACTTTTATTCGCGCGCAAATCTCGCTTGTTACTCACGCCACGCGCTCTGTATCATCGTCACGTTTTGACTTCTCTTCTCTCTCTCTCACGACGTATGACAGAGATTGAAAATTCATCGCAACTTTTGCGTCGCAGCCTCATAATCTACTTTTTACCGCATAAGATTCTAGATCGACAGTCGCCCTTAAGCTGCAACTATGGGTCAACCATCCTTCGCGGCGTCCAACGCCCTCATCTACGTCACTTATGGACTCTTCCTGTATGAACTCTGCGCAGCTCTTCCAATTTCAACACTCTCTATCGCTGCTGTTTTCCCTCGCTCCTAAAGAGTGTATGGTACTAACGTTTGCGCAGTATCACCGGTACTGCCATTGCGTGGAAGTTCCGCAATCAGTCCAAGGGAGAGTTCCTGTCCGGAAATAGAACTCAGACGGGTCAGGAACTCTTCCCCTTTGCAGCATGAGAATGAGAGTGAGAGTGTGTGTTTGATGGGGTCAGATGAGGCTGAGCCTCTTATACCTGACCGCGTCTGCAACACTTGGCTCATTTGCTTTGATTTGCAATCAACATGCTCTGCTCTCATTCAAACCCCCATATGTGTAGCAAACTAACACACTCCCCGCAGCCTTCCCCTTGGCCCTCAACTTCATCGCCTCTGGTGAGTGAAGAAGACGCGGGCGGTGTAGCCACTGCGCTTCTTAACCCGATAGCAAAGCATCTTCTTCGAGAAAGAAGAGCGGCAGAACGGCACGGAAATCAGCAAAGACTACGAGACTACGTTCCCACGAACCGCACAGCACCACGCAAGCCTACAGTAGATGATATGAGATGATCGACTTCTCTATCCCCGATTCTTCTCATGAAAAGAGTAATCATGAAACGAATGGCTACGGGCCGGGAATCCAATCGAATGACTGACAGGCAGGTTCGTAACCCAACAACTAAAGATCAACAATTACTCCCCGACTTCCATATCACCCCACCCCCTTTTTCCTGATATCATCTTCTGGATTGGCGGAGACAAGCCTACTAACCTTTCTGGCCACCACGAGGCACACCTCGAATGTGGCCAGAATACTCTGTGGAAAACCCTCCCCCCTTCTGAAGATGTCATCAGAAAAAAGGGGGTGGGGGGAGATGAAATCATCGGGGATGCGGCTCACTACGGGCGCGGATTTGAAGCAGTCGCCGCGCATCCACCCTCTTCCGTTCTCATCGTCTCAAAAAGCTCCTTCTCGAGGGGCCTTCTGAGACGACTCAACAGAAGAGGAGATGCCGCGAAATGTGGAAATGAAGCTGAGATTGCACCGTAATTACTCGATCAAGTTAATGCTTGCGTGGGAAACGTGCTGCCGCTCCGAACATCTCTCCCCCCTCCCCTCCCCCTCCTTCTACCTCGCCCCGATGCCTCGTGAAATACTAACACGCACAACCCAAGCCCTCGGCTCCGGCATCCTCTTCTCCTACCCGGAGCTCGCCACAATCACCGGCGTCCAGGGCGTCCTCGTCTACGCCCTCTCGTCCTCTCTCCCGCTCCTCATCTTCGCCGTCCTCGGCCCCGTCATCCGCCGCAAGACGCCCGAGGGCTTCGTCCTCACGGCCTGGACGAGGCAGCGCTACGGCACCGTCGCCATGTTGTATCTCAGCTTCATGACCCTCGTCACGCTGTTCCTGTACATGGTCGCCGAGCTGTCCGCCATCGGACAGGTCGTCAACGCCCTGACGAGTCTGGATGGTCTGCCCGTCATGATTGTGCAGTGCGTCATCACCACCATCTACACATGTAAGTTCCCGTCTCTGAAACCTCAGAAACAAGACACTCTCGACTTACAACCCATCCACAGCCCTCGGCGGTTTCCGCATCTCCTTCTTGACGGACAACATCCAAGGCGCAATGGTAATCTGCCTCATCATCATCGTCGCAATCACAATGGGCGTCAAAACCGACATCGACACCTCCCTCATCGAGACCTCAGGCCTCCTCAAACCAACCCTCCTTGGCTGGCAACTCCTCTACATCCTCCCCATCTGCATCCTCACAAACGACTTCTTCCTCTCGGGCTTCTGGCTCCGCACCTTCGCCTCCAAAACAGACAAAGACCTCCGCGTAGGCGTCTCCATCGCCGTCGTCATCATCCTCTGCATCCTCACCATGGTCGGCGTAACCGGCCTCGTCGCAGCCTGGTCCGGCGCGCTCCCCCTCGACCAAATCGCAGACAGCGGCTCCATCGCCTTCTTCCTCCTCCTCCAACAGCTCCCCGCCTGGGTCGTCGGCATCGTCCTCGTCATGGTCTGCACCCTCTCCACCGCGGCCTTCGACAGCCTGCAATCCGCAATGGTCTCCTCCGCCTCAAACGACCTCTTCCGCAACCGCCTCAACATCTGGTGGATCCGCGCCGGCGTCGTCCTCATCATCTTCCCCACCGTCGTCATCGCCCTCAAAGCCCCCTCCGTCCTGCAAATCTACCTCATCTCCGACCTCGTCTCCGCCTCCGTCATCCCCGTCCTCGTGTTCGGCCTGGTCGACCGCTTCTACTGGTGGCGCGGCTTCGAGGTCGTCGCCGGCGGGCTGGGCGGCATCCTCACCGTTTTCCTCTTCGGTCTCGTCTTCTACGACGGCGACGCGCAAAAGGCGGGCAACCTGCTCATCATCTCCGAGGGCCTGTACGCCAACGACTGGAGCGTGTTCGGCGCCTTCGTCGCCGCGCCCGTGGGCAGTTTTCTCTGGGGGTTCGGCGCGTTGGGGTGCCGGTTGGCGTTCCAGTACGTCTTGGCCAGGAAGAGCGGTCGCCGCTTCGACGCGCTCGATCGGCCTGTCGGGCCCGGGTTCACGCCCGAGGCGGACGGCGCCCCACGCTATGTTGAGAGGGACGAGTATGAGGCCAACTCCGAGGTCGAGGTCAGTAAGCCCGCTGGCAAGTTCTTCTAAGAGCTATGCCTCGATCTCAACGGTGGGCATGCTCCTCAGAGTAAGCAAAGCATAAGCGATTAAAATGTGCTTTCCTGAAGCATTTTGATCCTTGCGCAGCGATTCGTATCAATACATGAAAAGTGGAATTAGATACCCACGGAAGGGAAAACAACCCTAGCGAAGTAGGGAGAAGGGGGAGATTTTGATTCTTGTATTTGGTGGTCGGAGAGTCTTTTGCTCCTATGCAATCAGGCCCGTTCTATAGCCAGCCATTTAATCAGACACATATAATACACTCATTACATGTTTTTGTTTTACTCCTCATACACATGTCCGCCACAACCTCTGCCGTCGTTGCTTCCAACCGACTTCTAGCAAGAAGGCTCAGCCTCACAGACGTTCCCCCCGTCTCTTGGCATAATCCTTCCTCTCCATATCCTTCATGCCCTTCTGCATCATCTTCCAGTCCTCCATCGTCGTGGCCTGCGTGTTGCCCCACGCGATCCACTTCTTGGGCTCCCACGTCTTGGGGTTGAACTGCCTGGTCATGACAAAGTACTCTGTCTGGTTCTGCACCCGCAGCCCGCCCTTGACGGGCTTATTCGTCGACTTTTCAATCTTGTCCAGCTTCTGCGAGCTCGAGATGGCGACGACGACCTGCTGGATGACCGGCGCCTTGCCCACCGGCGGCATCATCGCCACTCTGTGGCTCACGATGCGCGGCTTGCCGTCGTAGCGGAGCAGCTCCCATGTCAGCTTCTCCGTCGCCTTGCGGCGCGAGATGACGGCCGACAGGGTCTGGTACAGGGCCGGGGTGCAGATCTCGCGGAGAGTGTCCTTGTCGCCGGCGGCCAGGGCCTCGCCCAGGCGGCGGTGGAGCTCCTTGGCCTCGGGGACGATCTTGGTGTAGCTGAGCTGGCAGCGCGGCTTGGTGGTCCAGTTCGGCATGGATTGGACCTTTGCGCCGAAGACGGCGAAGAAGTCTAGCACGCGCTGCTTGAGGCGGGCGTAGGTGTATGCCCAGAGGGCCTTGGGGGACTTGTCGAGTTGGGAGAAGGGGAGGGTGACAAAGGTTCCTAGTTTGAGTGCCGTGTTAACGAGCTATCCTCGATATCTTCCTCTTTCCTGATCGATCCTTCTTTCCCTCCACATATAAAGTGCGCCTGCTCAGCAACACTGTCTCGACACTGGGAACGCACCTGGGAGCATAATGTGTGCCATGGTCATGGACTTTTCAATCTCGCTGGCGGAATATCCGCCATCGGCCTGGGAAGCTTTCTTGTTCTGGCGGGAACTCATCCGCATGTCCGCGGCGAATTTGCTTGCATAGCACCTCCTCGCCGTCACGGTCACGGCAGGCGATGCTGCTATCCTCTTGGCCGCGGGGAGAACTCTGGTGAAGGGCTGCTGGGGGCGCATGGCTGCGCTGCCGAGGCCGAGCAGCGGCCTCGCGGATCGGTACATGGCGCGTGACGGGTGGGTCAATCGGTCTCGATTCGTGATCGTTGGACTATGCCAGGTTCGAGGTTGTCGTCGTCGTCGTTGTCGAGTGCGGGAGCGGGCGGACTCTGGGAATGGTCTGATTCCGAACAGGTCGTCCTATCCTCTTACCGGGGAGCTCTATCACGAACACTTCTGCTGACCAAAAATTCCAATTGGAAAAGTAGGTGGTCCAAGCTTTCGGGGGACATTTTTCTTGATGATCCACAATTCGGTCGGAATCCTCCGCGGCAAGCGCTTCGGCCGTCGCATCTTTTGGAAACTGCGGAGTGCACGGTTCATGTTCTTGCCGCGATGGTCATCCGCGCCACACTGTGGCTTGAAGAGCTACGTTTCCCCCACTAGAGTTGAATTTCACCAATGACAGCCTCGATAGTCATCAAGCCACGTCGAGTGGATAATTGCTTCCCAAAATGACGACGAAGCAGGCACTGGCAGGGTTGTGGTATCCGTTCATGATGTGTCGGACTCCGCAATGAGGGAGAAGAGGCATTCGTACCTTACGCTACGGATACGTACCTTACCCACGGTCGGGCAGGACCCTGCTGTCATTGTCTCAATTCCGCATCCACAAGGGAAGCCCGACTAAAACGTGCCTGTACCTGCTCGTGCTGCTCGGTGCTCAGTGCCCAGCCCAGCACTCAGGGACGACGTAGCAATCAAGATAATGTGAGGTAGCGAACCTGGAAGGTGGGAGGATGGATGGATGCTTCACCTTTTTGGAATACTCATTAATCAATCCAAACCTTTTTTCTTTTCTAATCTGCTCTACAAAGTTGACCAATAGCTCACCTCCTGGACTACCTGGATTCGGCCATTTTGGTATTATCTCACGCACACACACATTCCCGCAATTGACACTTGTCGACACAATTGCGGGCAGCGGCACGCGACCTACCTGACTGGGCTTCCATTCCCCCTCCTCGTCTTCGTCTTCGTCCGTCCTCCGAATAACCCCCCAAAAAGGGTCCCTCTCACACTCAAGCTCCAATCCCCTCCTTCACATCCCGGCCGCCTCCAACTCTCGGGTGCTCTCCGTTCCTTGGAACATTCCTGTCCCAAAAAAACAAGAATAGAGGGAGGAAATCGACCGCACCCCCCAGAAACGAGCCGCAGGGCCGCCCAATCCCAAGTGCTGGAGCACGACGCCGAGACACAACCTTGGAAGCACCAGTTTGCCGAGCTACCTTTTTGTCTGCCACTAGGTAGTTCTCGACTGGATCTTGCTTCTTCCAAACTTCCAGAAATCCGCTCCGCTCTGCTGCTACACTACGCTACTCGCCAACCTTACCTACCTTGGGGTTCAAGGTCCCAAAAGGCCTAGACGCCTACGGATACCGGACTCTTCGACCAACCGACCATCGCACAATAGCTTCGAACCTAACCCTCCTTCTCGTCCATCACAAGCTCTCTTCCTCTCTCCGTCTGGCCCTTGCCTCCTTCGACACCTCTACTACCCCCATGCCGCCATCGCCGCCGCCGCCGCCGCAGACAACCGTATCCGAATCCCCTCCATCAATGGCAGCGCAGTCCGCCGCAACACCACCGCCTCACAGAGCTTAGATGGCACCCCTCGCGCGCGCCGTCTCAAATCACCACCTCCAGCACCAACACCACCACACAAACGGCACCCCGATTCCCACGAACGGCGTTCCTCCGGACCCAAACGCAGACGACACCACCTCTGGCCACCCGCCGCCCTACAACCCGGACCTCGTCTCCTCCTCCCTCCTCGAACCCCGCATCGCCGTCGTCCTCAATGTCCCCAAGCCATGGCGACCATGGCTCTTCGCCTGCCGCCTTCTCTCTATCGGCCCGGCCATCTTCTGGGCTCTGCAGCCCGCCCTGACCCTCCTCGTTCAGATTATTCCCGTCGCCGTACCGGGGGGAAAGAAAGCTGTTGATGCTGCCGCTGCGGCGGCCTCCGGAGTCGGGGTTGGGGGTGTCGTCGGCGGCGGGTTCGCGGGTAGCACGTGTCCCCCGCCCAATTGGCCACCCGGACACTCCGAGATACCGTTCCCTTGGACTGAAATGTCCCTGGGACTCATGTGGGTATGTGGGAGCATTCGCTCTTCTCTGGACGAGCACATAACGACCTGCGCTGAGCAGTGCTGTTGAGGTAGCCCCCAAAAGATGATATAAATGCTGACCTGAATATCGTGTTAGTGCGGAGCTTCAGCGTATCTCTCCTTCTTCTTCATAGACTGCCTGATGTCACGATGGTAAGCGGCTGAAGCGCACCTTTCTTCTCTACATGCTGTGTTCCGTATCTGAAGAGGCTCGTCTAACAACGACAAGGCTCATCAACTACACCCCACAAGCGACAATCATCCGCCTCCTTACAATCAACTCCACAAACGCATTCCTCACCGAACGAATCCTTACATTTTCAGGCGGCTTCGAAGACCCAAGACTTCTACTTCCCGGCTGGGTCACCATAGCTACGGTCAGTCACTCTCTCGTTTCCACAGCAGCTTTCTACACTTGAACACTCCCGAAAAGCATTAGTTGAACAACCGCTAACATCTTGCCCTGCGCGCGCAAACCAGACCCTTACGATAGCATACCACATCACCCAACGAAGCATAAACATCCAAAAGGAAACCTCCACCTCGATCAACATCTTCTCCATCGCCAGCTTCATCAGCATGATCTCCCTCCTCGCTCACCTCCACTACAACGGCTCAGACTATCCCGAAAAACCGTTCGAGTCCCTCGCCAGGTTCATCCTGCAGCAGTTCGAGCGTGTGACCGGCGAGGCTATATTGCCTTCCTATTCCCCTTCGCACAGCGAACTATAGGTGTCATGTCACGAATTTACATCTTCAGAGCATTGTCTCATCTGTTTGATATGTATTGGTGAATGTAGGGGGGAGTTGAACTATATACCATGGCGGATGGACTTATACAATGGAAAGGATTCAGGGCGGGAAGCACGAGAACGAGGAAACACGACCTTGTTGAAAGCAACGGGTGCTGCAATGTGCTTTGAGAAACATAGATACCCCAAATTCACAGTTATGCTGCATATAAAGTGATTTCCTCGTGCAATAACACAAGTTGCTGCGACGTTATTACTGTCCACAACGTATGGTTCAAACTTCCGTGTAAATGAAGGAGCAACTTTCGTCTGCTGTATGCCAAGTCGCAGGGTTTTCTTATCATGGATACCTCAAAAAGTGACATATCCCAAGACATTCGACGAGTTCCCCAACGGCCAGAAGGCTCCGAAACAACAGCACACATCACAAACATGGGCAAGAGAGTTTTTGGGACAAGTTTGTCATTTTCAAGACTAAATCTCTGGACCACCCAAACTATCAATGAGAGTACGGTGGGCCCTTTGTGAGATGCTCGAGATCTAACTGTCTCGTCATGCGTCGAAGCTGACGCAAGTCGCCCTCAACCTCCACCGATAACCTCTTCTGTCGGTGGTAGGTATACCGTCCTACTACGTCGCATCGGGTGCCGACACTGAGCGGCGTCGAAAGGCGGAGAGGCTGCTATGCCTCGTGGCTCTTCTCAGACCCGGACGTCAGCCGTAGCCGTTGTGGCCATGGCTGGTAGGAACGGTGGCGACTTGCGGCGTGCTTAGAAACCGTGGACCTTGATGGTCTTGGAATCCAATCCGAGTCCCTCCTTGGTGTTGATGAGGAACTCTTGCACGACCTTGCGCTGGTCACCCTGGAGCTGGATGACCTCGCCCATCTCGCTGTCAGCTACGATGGTGCCATTGCAAGCTAGAAGGGGGCATGTTAGCAGACCGTCCATGTCATGTTGGGGTTGAAGCGGGGTAATCCATACCAAATTGCTTCTTGATGACCTTGAGAATTTTCTTCTGGTCGAATTTCTTCGGGAGACCCTGAACGGTGGTCAAAGTCTTTCGTCCATTGCGCTCTGCAAGTCATGTGTTAGTCACTGTATTATGATTGGTTGCCTTGAGTCGACGCGCGTGGGACCGCTCTGTCGGGACGTGCGGCATTTGTGTCTCTCGACGTCAAGGTTCGGAGGTTCGCGACGTACGTTGGATCCGAATATGGATATAATTTTGAGACTGTTTGGTCTCGCCGGTGTCTTCGTCGGCTTCGGCGAAGGGGTCTGAAGCGCGACAATAGTCAGCATCCTGGTAGGCAAGTTGGTGGCGGTCAAGGGGGAGAGGGGGCAACGCGACGTGTTCCAAGCTCTAGGCGGACAGCGAGCCAGAAGACTTGAAGGACCACGGCGGTGATGGTGGTGGATCGAGGGAAGACGACTGTGGTGGCGACATACCGTAGGACTTGAGATTTTCAATTGACATAAACTCGTCTGTTCGGGGGTGACCTTGGGAAACGGGTTGGGTGACGATTGTCGGGGGTTTAGCGACGGACGGCGTGAGAGCGGTCTCGCTGTAGCAGATGCTTGAGTAGTTGGGTTGTTAACACGAAAATGCGGTTGTTCGCAGTTGATCTAGCGGTTATCTGATGTCGTTGATGTCTGTACTGGGTCGATGATGATGAGGTGGTGGGAGACGGACGAAAGAGGGATCGCTGGGCTGGGTGGTTATATACGTCGGAAGGTTTATGGGGGGTGGACGGGGTCTGCAGATCAGTGACTGATGTTAGGGCGGGCAGGCGGGCAGCCCGCAAAATTGGTAACTTGGGACGGAAGGAATGACGGACTCGGGTTCGGGCGGGCACTGAACAGAGTTACAAAGAGCGCTGCAGTCAGGTACCTATCTCGACTCCTCTGCCTGTATTAGGTAGCGACGTGCGGATAAGGTACCTGACCTGGCTGGGTCTTAGGCCCTGCCGCCCTGGCTGGTGTGAGCAAACCGGGGGACGTGGAAGGTGCAGGTGGGCACGAGGGGCACCTATTGCATAGGGCAGGCACAGGCCACTGGCCGTTTCCCGTGCCTGCGCTGGCTGAACCAGCGGGAAACGGAATTGCGTGAGCCGCTGACTGCGCCCGATAAGGGACCTTGACTTGGGAGAGATAAGGCAACGGAACCTCCCACCACCCGCATCTTCTTCCGCCTTACCTTATAGTAGGTACCTAGTTTTCGAAAGACATTGCCCCTCTTTACTTCGCACAGTTCAACGTGTTACTCACCCTCCGCCCATCATCCCAAAGTCAGCCCTCGCAGTGAGCACGTTGTTTGTGACAAACCCGTCCGAGTCCTGCCCCGCACAAGATGACGACTATGGGTACGGATACCTCATTGCAGAGGTTTGGTTGGTGGTCACACTTGGCACAGAAGCAACAGTCACACCAACACCAGCACGGCCCACACCTAGTTGTGGCTGGACTCATCGACTCGCGCGCCGTCGCTGCGACCCCATGATTGTCCCTGGCTATTTGCGGTTTAGTCGGCGGGATACCCAAACAATCTATGGATGCCATCTGCAGCTCGTATCTCGGCACCTTGCGCTACCCGGCTCCCAAGTACAGCCACCGTGAGGCCTCTGCAAGCGCTCTGCCAGGACGTCGGCGCCACCGGAGCTTTCTCGCTACATCGTACACCTGCAAGAGGTCTCTCGTCGGCAGCCACTACCTCCAACGATCACGCACTTTCAAGGACTGAGACATGAGCAATCATCTGATAGGGGACCCCCTGGAAGAACGCCGGCCCAAGAGAGGCACAATGCTGTTTGTTTCGTCTGCAAGACAAATCCTGACTCCCTGCGTCTGCGGCCTCTGCATCAACGCCAACCCGGCCGGCTTCCAGACCTTACGCCTCGACCAGTCCCGAGTCGGCAATGACCATCTGCTGCCAGCCGGCCTTGCCGTTTTCAGCGCCCAGCCCTACAGCTTACAAGTCTCCGGATGCGGCTCCACGATGCGTCACTGAGAGCTGACTAGCATGTCCCTGTCCTCCGTCACAATCCAACAATCCTACGAACAGAGCCTTTGAGACCACGATCGAGCAAAAGCAGGATTGGTGTCAAGGCGCTTAAGTCACTCGATCGTGTAGTCACGAAGTGTAAAATTAAAGACTTCCAATGTTCATTACAATTCGACATTCATCAGTCAAGCTCTGGCACCGGCAAATGGTCGACAAGCTTGAGATGTGTCAGACCCAGCTTTCCCAACGCTTCGATAGCATTCCGGTCCCGCAGCTCCTGCGTCTCCTTCTCCGAGACCAGCACAAAGTCTTGCTTCAGCAACCATCCGCCCTCCTTGACGCTGTACTCCTCCGCCGTCGCCTTGTCCACCTTATCGAGGTCGACAACAAGACTCTTTTTAACACCAAACACCGCATCCGATTTCTCATACGGATCTCCCCGGATATAGAGTGCGCTAGTTGATTGCGTCAGCCAGATCCATGATCCATCTCACCCAACCCTGGCCATCCGCATCGGAACGGAACGAACGGCGGGTTCTTGAAAGAGCTAGCTCCTACAATGGAGCAACAGATAAGGGCGGAGAAACCTACGTGATCAAGTGGTCCCAGCCTTCTTTTTGGAACATGAAGTGCAGATGCGCTGGCCGCCAGCAATGACGCCCGAGCAGAGACAGCAAGTTTCCAACCGGCCCATCGTGGGGAATTGGATAGCTCACGGGCTTGATTCCCTGGAAAAAGAAGCGACCCTCCTTATCCGAGATCATGACACAGCGCTCGCTCGCTTCTGTCCTCCCTTCGTGCTGCACGTCGTAGTGGCCACTGCTGTCCGTCTCCCAGATGTCAATCTTGACTCCGGAGATGGGGTTACCTTGCCTGTCCTTGATCGTGCACACAACCAGCAGCGGTTCGCCTTCAGGATCTCCCGACATATTCGCTCCGTTCTCTAAAGTTGGCGCATCGTGTGTGTGAAACGGTCCCAGGACGGAGCCTTCGGTGGAGTCGGACGGCTTGGGGTGGTTGATGCTGTCGACGAGCAGGGAGAGGCCTAGGATATCAGAGAGAAGAATGAACTCCTAGTCGGGCGGTCAGCGTCGTTTGTCACAGTGTTCAGTCAGGTCCGCCATATTCACGACGGGTGCACCGCGCGCCGACTTACATGCCGCACGTCGCTGCTAATCTGCCCGCAGCCGACGAGGAAATTCAGCGCCGCCATCCACTCGTCAGTGCTCAACCGCGTCTCCCGCGCAAAGTCGTGCAGATGGGTGACGAGCCGTTCCATGAGGTACTTGAGTCGTGCATTGTCGCTCTGCGAGTTGATGCGAACGGTGTTCGGTGTGATGTTGTCGATCGTGAGATCTAGGAGCTCTGGTGTGTTTTGAGCCATTGTTGCTTGCTAATTGTGTGTGATCTAGATGCAGGCAGCGACAAGAGTCCAATTCGCTTCCCAAGTGTCCAGTCGAGATAGAAGCGGCTTTTTCTTTGCTTGTCTCGTCTATCTTTAATATCAAGGACCTCGGATTTATCTGGAAGGGGTGCTACTCTTCGGAGGGAGGGGCACTCTTTATGTAATGCTCTGTAATCGCTGATTTCCGAGTGGGCTACCTAGCTGTACCATGCAGCCATGCAGTACAGATGGTCTGAATTTCGAGTGTCGGTCGACGGGTGATACCTTAGCCGCGTCGCGGCAAATCCGCCGCACCTTGGACGTACTCGCACACTTCAGAGCACAACGGATTTACGGAACAAGTCTCTAAGTCCTAGGATTAACTGCCTGGGAAGAGGTATGTCAGCACATTGTCATTTGATAGTTCCCCGAGACTCGAGGATACGGTAATTCTCCCCCTCTACCCCTCCCCCTCCACATCCCCAGGTAGGTACCTACCTAGGTGATAATCCCCCTCCGGCACTCAGTCTGAGTCTCTGACTTCATAGAGGAGAGGGCGTTCTGCGGGGTACTAGCGCTGCCCCGCCCCCACAACCTGTCGCGGGAGACTCTGAAGTCGGTGGAGGGCTTGGAGGGGTAATGCGTCCAGGGGCCCGAGCGTCACCCCCGGGTCCTGGCTCGGGACTTGATATGGGCGGGCGGATTGTGTAAGCGGCCTTCTTCGGCACTCGGACCCGAGCGGGATGTCCGGGGGATCATAACGACGAGAGGGTTTAGGAGTGGTATATCTGGATTAGGAACTATGTTGTGTTCTGCCGTTGCCTTTGGGTGATCAGAGACTGTACACTTTTGGTATGGAGCTTTGGTCCCCGTGTATTTTACGTGAGGATGTTTGCTGCTACCCAAGGTAAGTATGTAAGGTAAAGACGGCGAAGAATCATCAAGTCATATGGCGACAAGTATGTCTATACTGAATAGAAGGCTGTAAAATAATCAGAGCATTGATCTTCGTGCTTCGTAGAAACTCGAAAGGATGGGTAGCAAAAGTGAGAAGATACACTCGAGATTGGGCTGGGAGGGTAAAGTACCTTGCGCATCATAAAAGTGTGTAATGTCGTTGAGCTTCTCCTGAACTGGAATTTTCAGTACAACGTGGAGGTACAGCTGCCACTCTCCCTCTAGTTCCCTTCCCATCGGTCATTAGTAGTGGGCTCTCCTTCCGGTACCGTGGCACTTTGCTTAGCAGGCCCGGGTCAGCTCATCACTGCTCGATTCCGAGCTCCGTGCCGCACGAGGCCCACTTTCTCCGACTGAGCCCTCGGCGCCGGCAGCGGCGTTAGATTTTTCGGAGCGAAAAAGTCACCTCTGACACAATTCTGTGCAGGCGCGAACTAGGTAACAAAAGCCGTCGTTGAAGCTACCGCGGGTCACAAAAAGCCTACTACTAGGGATATACGGTGTGCCCTATCAACGACGCGACAATACGACACAATGCAACTCGAAAGATTGGATAAAAAAAACTCTGGAAAACCTAAACCCGAGTCATGACATTCACAAAACCACGCGTTATCCAGAAGAAGAGGGATAAACGGAGCGTAGTTCGAGCAAATATGAACGCGTAGGTCAGTATAAACTTACTCTGTACACCGACACACTATACTCCGTATAGTAAAGATAACTCCGCGGATAAAGCGGCTTTGAGAATCTGAAGCCAGCAACTTGACAAATGTCCTCCGTCATTTCCCAACCCCCTTCCCGGACGGCCGACGAATCAATCTCGGCACTCGCTGGTCCCTGCATGATCATCACAACTCAAAGTTCACGACCGTGCCCGAGCTTTTGCCATTTTTTTTTTTCTTCAGGACACTTCTTTTGAAGCGATGTTATGTTCCTCGCACACTTGTGCTTAACGTAGTCTCCGCGATAAGGCATTCGTAATCTGCATTGGAAGTTTCCACGTAGCCGCCGGCGTTAAATAAGGTAGGTTCGATCCCGCCTTGGTACTCGGTCCAGACTGGGGAGGTGCGGCATGTATGAGGTGCCTGATTGCCCAGAAAGGGGGGGGCCGTCCCTACTTCTCTCACCCGTTTACGTGTTTACGGAAGGCCGGGATTGGAATTGCTCTACAAGGTAATTACGGACAAGAAAATGTAATCGTAAGGTGTGCCCCGGTGTCGATGTTGCGCGTAAGTGCCATCGGATTAAGCTCCGACCTGACTCCTCTTCCCCTTCCCCCTTTCCTTGCCCTCCTTACCCACCTTACGCAGTAGTCCTCGGGGCCCTCTTCCCCGTACCCTCACCATCCCTGGAACGACCGTTATCCACCTTTTGCTTTTCCCGAACCCAAACCGGGGTCGGCTTTCTCAATCTACCAACCTACAAACATTTACATCGACAAAAACGACCTGGACAAGTCCAGAGCGAAGAGATATGGCTGCCGCTGGGCAACCTCTGGTGCGTTTTTTGACGAGAGCTCCATATTGATTGGTTTTGGTTTAACTAATTGGTTGTGTTTCTAGGAGCCCGATACATTTGATTCGGACTCGGCAATCTCGGAGGTATGAGTGTTTTGTTCTGCCCAGCTTGCCTTCTTCACCCCCACCCAATTTGTACCTCTCTTATGTCTAGTTACGTGGCGGCGTTTCACGTCACATCCCGCGCAGCTGGAGCTCCAAAGATGCCGCCAGAAGCGCAACCAAAGATGACTTTCACCATGTTTCGAGATAGGCATCAGCAAAGACTGATGCTAACATGTTCTAAAGCTTCGGAATGGCAGTACCGACTCGCCTACCCCGAGTATGTTGACGGTGCTGGAGGAGAATGGCAGGACATATCACGCAATGAGTTCCGGGAGTGAGCAGTGCCTTGTGAACCACCTCTCCAATGCTGGGTTCTTGACTGACGATATCAATAGAATACCCGTTTCCCAACGACATTGTCGAGCAGGAACGCCTAGGTATGCATCTCTTCCCCTTGGCTTCTTATGCAGATCGAGAAAAGAGCCTGGAAGCTCATAGTGTATCATCTCAAACCAGATTTCCAACACCTCATGTGGAGTGTGACGCTGGGCGACAAGCTGTGCTTATGTCCTAAGGACTCACAAAAGGCAAAGCGCGTGCTGGACGCCGGGACGGGCACCGGGATCTGGGCGATGGATTACGGTGAGATACATCTCATCCTGCCTCACCTTGCTTTGGGGTTGTGAGATTGACGGCGTTGAAATTGTAGCGGACGCACATCCGGAAGCCAAGGCAAGTCGATGAGATCCTCTCCATCCTGGCCAGCGGCAACTAACACGGTACTCAATCTAGGTCATTGGTGTAGATCTGAGCAACATCCAACCAAAATGGTAGGCTCATCACGTGGGAAACAATCTCATTGTCGTATACACTGACGCCCGGGGATGACAGGACCCCTCCGAACTTGACATGGGAGCTGGATGACCTAGAGCAAAATTGGACTTGGTCTCAGCCGTTCGATTTCATCTTCGTCCGCATGCTAGCAGGGAGTCTCAAAAACTACCAAGACTTTATAAACCAAGCCTTCGAGTGTGTCTCAATCTTCTCTCTCACCCTTACTCTCACTGTCATACCCATCCATCTCATTCTATGCACACTTATTCCCAGCAGTCACTCAAATACTCACCACCTTGCCCACCAGAAACCTTGAACCAGGCGGCTACCTGGAAATGCAAGACCTCTCCCTCCCCTATCGCTGCGACGACGCATCCCTAACGCCAGACTCCCCAATCCACAAACTCTCCGACCTTTTTCTCAGAGGCGGCCGCGTCACAGGCCGCAACATGGACGCGGCGCCCACCTACGCCGCCCTCATGCGCACCGCGGGCTTCGTCGACGTCCAAGAACGACAGTTCAAGTGGCCCGTCAACGCGTGGCCGCGCGACCCGCACTTCAAGACCTTGGGCGCGTACACGCACTGTAACCTCGACCACGGGCTCGAAGGGTTGACGTTGGGGCTCGCGACGAGGAATTTGGGGTGGAGTAAAGAGGAGACGCTGCTTTTTTGCGCGACGGTGAGGAAGAGTTTGAGGAGCCATAAGGTGCATGCTTATGTTCCTTTGTAAGTTGGAATTCTTTATGATGATGAAGTGAAAGTGAGTGCGTGCTGACTTGCCTGGTACAGATACGTCGTGTACGGGCGGAAGCCGACGGTGGCGGAGACGAGTGGATCCAATCCACCGGACGGTATACAGTAGCCGTTCATATTTCTCTAGTTAGGGACATTATTGGGCGTAGGGAAATCATATAGACTTCCGGGCTGGCGGTTTGCTGGGGGTCATTTCGCATACGAATCATGGTGTTTTGGCGTTTTGCGATGAGGGAGCATGGTTCATCAACGGCGGGGAAAGGACAAAGGGGCGTTTCACCATGGGAAGGACCTGGGACATTTTTATGGTTCATCAGGACAGCCATTCCAAAGTTTTTTTCATTCACTCTAGCTAGGAAATAACTCCAGGCACGCCATCCGTCGGGCTGCGGTACAAAAGAGACTCTTGGTATGGGTACGTGCGCGCTGGTCCAGACGCAGTTCAAATTAAATCAGGATAGAGGCAAGCAGGCATTCGTCTTCGTCATGAGACTTAAGCACCCCGATTCCTTGCCCGAGCACGAGATGCGAGTTGATCCATGTGTTTCTTCCACCGAGACCACCAGACTTCGTTTCTCTCCTGGACCACTGGCCCATCGGGAAACCCTGCATCATCGTCAATAGGATCAGTTCCGCTGTGGTGGCGGAAAATCGGGCCAAGTCCTCCCCAGGGGTAAGCCGGGCTCGAAGGGAGAGGCACGTTAGAGATGGTTGTGGTAGGCGTGCCGGCCACGGAGAAACTGGTATTGAAGATAGCACTGCTGTCTCTGCTGGGGTTGCTCAAGCGGCTTGTCGTTGACGTGATGAACGTCGTGGTTGGGTCTACAGATGTCCATGTTCCTGTGATGTCATTAGATTGACTAAAACAGGTCGGGAGGTTCTGACTTACGATTGGTTCTAGCTGAAGACGTCCATGAACTTGTGGACCCCGCCGACGACGCTATCGTGATGTTCTGCCATCTGGAACTGCAGGAAGATCTGGGTGGGTACGCGGTGTACGCTGTGTTGTTTGAAGAGAATGGTGGGTAGACCACGGTTGGATCAGCCTTCGCCGTGGCGGAAGTAATGAGAATGCTTGTGGTGACGACCTGAGTTACGGTGCCGTTTGTTACAGTGACAGTATTGCAAGCCGAAGGAGTTCCAGATGGAAGGCCAGGAGAGTTGGTAAACGCTGGGCCCGCCGACTCGGTAAGAGAGGATCCAGAAGGCGGCGCGGTGCCGGAAGAAACCCGAGAACTAGATGAATTGAAAGGTGACAGTGTAGGTACAGGTAATATAGACACAGAAGAGAAGGCGGTTCCTGACATAGTCCAGGTGAAATGAGACGTTGAGATTGCTCCGGAGATGGTGGTTGAGTTGCCGAAGGGGGGTAGTGAGGACGGGTTACCAGTTGTAATGGGTGGAGATCCCGTTGAGAAGGCCGTGCCGTTTGATTTCGTGACCGTTGTCGTGTTTCGTGGAGTAGGCAAAGGAGCAGTGCCGGATGGCGTTGTTGGTACACTAATGGTTGACAACATGTTTGACGCAGTTGAGTTGGGCCACTGACCCCAAGTTGAACTTGAATCTGTCGGAGCGCTGAATGGACCGCCTGTGCCTCCCCAAGTGACACTGACTCCTGTGCCGGCCGAGGTGCCAGTTGCGCCTGGAGTTGCCGTATCGTTGAAGGTTAGGAAAGGAGGCAGGGGAACGATTGAGAGTGTCTGCGTAGTGCTGCCGTTTGCTCCGGTAGCGGTCAAAGTTGTGACAGGGAGTCCTGATGCTGTGCCAGGGATCCAAGTCGGCCTTGGAATAGCAGTGGCGTTTCCTGTCGTTGGGAATGGCGGCAAATTGACGGTGAACGAAGTGCTATTGGATGTTTCTGAGGGCTCGGAGGTTTGAAATAACGTCCCTGAAGCCCACGTGCCACTTCCTGTAGGCCCGGGTAGCTTGGTGGAGTTGGTCGTCGGGAAAGGTGGCCGGTCACTCCCGATGGATGTGTAAGTGATGGCAGCGGTTCCTGAATACACCGTAGAAGGCGGCATACCAGAGCTGTTAACCGCAGTGGGCCAGGGGATCTGGGTTGAATTGTACGTGGGAAAGGGGGCTGATGCTGCTGAAGACGTCAAACTGCTTGTGGCGTTGGCTGTAGACGTCTGCAGAAGCGTCCCATTTGAGGACGAAGTCAGGCTGGGAGTCATCCCGGTTGGCCACAAAGTTATTGTACTGCCTCCACTTGCGGTCATGACTGAAGCCGTTAGGCCTCCGCTAGATGTCGAGTTGGTCCAAGGGAACGATGCCGAGGCCGAGGCAGTAATGTTTGATATAACAGTTGTCGACGAGGTGATGACAGGGATTGAAATGGTGCCAGTAAGTGATGCCTGGGTGGAATTGAACGTTGGCCATGGAGGTAAAGTGGCCGAAGCCCCTATCGAAGTCCTATTGGAGGTTGCTGCATTCCCGGAATGGCTCGTTGCCATCCAAGTGGCGTTAGCACTCGCGGCCCATGTGGAATTTGGTAGTTGAGGAGGGGTGGCGATCGTAGCTGTTATGCTGGTGGCATTGCCGATCGACGTGATGACTACTGTTCCCGCCGTAGAGCCTCTTGTCAGAGTCCCAGTCATGCTCGAGTTCCATGGAGCAGTAAAATCCGTCCCGTTCGCGGAGATCGTAGTTGGAGTACCTGACACTCGACTGGTCACACTTCCAGTCGGCAGTATCAGAGTAGTTGTGTTCGACGCGGGATATGGCCCCGTTGCGCTGGAGCTGTTGGCTGCCGAAGGAAATGTACCAGTGCCAGATGGAACAGGTGGTGGACTTTCTTCACTAATAGAGCCAAGCGTACCGCTTGGCCATATTGTTGAGTTAGCCGGGTACCATGGCGCGGCAGTGACAGCAATGCTCGTTCGGATGACGGAGCCTGTTCCTGAGATGACGACAGTTGAAGTAGGCAGAATCACGGTAATGACGGGGTGGGACGTCCAGTTTCCGGTCGGGCTATTTGAAATGGTTCCGTTTACATGGCCACCGACCGTCGAGGAGTTGACTGGGAGAGTGCCCGAGACTTGAGAGCTGATTGATACGCTGGTAGAGACGCCCGTACCAAGTGGGGTCTGACTGCCTGTAACCGGAGCACCTGATTGTGTGCTATTCCATCCGATAGTGGCTTGTAGGGTATGCGAGAGAGTTGTCAACCGAACGGTTCCATTGGCGCTGAGAGTGACGACGGAAGGTAACACGATACCAGTGGAAGAAGTTCTCAACGAGGACGAGTTGGGCGAGTGAGTCTGGGAGATGGTCTCCGAGGTGGAGAAACCAGTTGAATTCCAGAGCGTAGGCCACGGGCTTTCCACAGGTTGAGTCAACGTAGAAGCTTGGCCCGAAGAGATAAAGAGAGATGTGATCGACGCGGACGTGTTGAAAGAGACTGAAACTGGGCCACCGGTGGCAGTCTGTATCTGGGACGATGAATTGAATGCAGAGAATGGCGGCGAGGGCGTGGAGATAGCCGATGCTAGACCAGTCGAGGATACTGCCGTGCCGTTATTGACTTCGGACGCGGAAGCAAGAGTGCCAGATATGGTCTCTGAAGAAGCTGTATGGCTGTCGCTCAGTGACGTTGCGGTTCTGGTCGAAGTGTTGGCTGGAGGCCAAAGAGTTGACTCTGTTACAAATGACGATGATACACTTGGGGCGATGGAGCTGGACGAATTCAATGACACAATGGTGCTAGCCACCTTTGAAGATACAGTACGTGAAGTCCCATCAGAACTAGGGGAGTAAGTGACGGCATTGGATAGAGTGGCGGTAACTCCAGCAGAAGTAGTCAAGCTCAGAGTAACAGAGTCAGAGACGCCATATGTGCTGGAGTCGCTGGCGACCGAGCCGACTTCAGTTGAAGATGCTAAGCATGTCAGTCTGAGAGCACCATCGGAAATAAATGATCGACTAACCATAGTCACTATTCGCAGAGGATATCACGGTCGACGGCGGCTGGTCACCGTAAGAGGTGGGAGAGGGAGGCGGCGGGTAGGTGTATCCATAGTCGTAGCTGGTGAATGCATTGGGATCTTGAGGGCTCCTCGCGTGATGTTCAACTTTGAGGGCAGCGGCGTAGGACTCGACCTTGTCCCGCTGCTTGAGGTCATTGGCACTGGCGGAAGCTGTCACGCCTGTAGCAAAGAATGGCAGACCGACTACCGTCACAAGGACGACAGTGCGAAATGAGGCTCGCATATTCGGAGTTCCTTCTGAAGGGGCGTCAGTTCAGTTTTCGTAGCAGACAGTATGGTTGACGATCATACCTGGCGAATCACTGATGCTAGGGGTATTCAAACAAACGAAAGTCGGGACTACGAGTAGAAGTGAACGAATGAAAGCCGGCTCAGTCGTATTCGAGTGACTGGGGATGGGCACAGGAGAAGAAACGAAGGAGGGTGAAGGACGAGAGAGAAGGAGAAGGGGGGGAGACCGAGGTGGGAAAGCGGGAGAAGGAACTTTGTGTGTGCAAGTATCTGAAGAAGGGCACGTCGCAATTATAGCAGGAAAGAGCTCACGACTTGCGTAATGAAAGGAAGGTGTGATGCCGGGAAGGTAATGCCACCAACTGGCTTACACATGCACCTCCTTCCTGTCAAATTCATATAAGCTTCCACATCAATCGGGAATGCCTCATCTTGCAAGATACCTTCCTATTACTGCAGTAACCGAAGGCTCCTACTTCGTTCAGTCTTGCCATGAGCCGGAGTTAGTTGCTGAAGCGGGCCGAGGAGAGGCAGTCGGAATATCATTCAACTCTGTGGCCTAATTTGGTGGGGAGCTGTGGATCATACGGCCTTTCCTGCATTGGGATTCCTCTTTGGCACTATGTTAGAAGATTGTGAAGAATAGATGAGCTTGTGCTCGAGGCTAACCAGGTGGTCACAAGAGAAAGATACCCGGCTACTTTGTGGCCCCCGGACCGAGTCCGACACAACACATAGGTACGAGCTTGCAGAATGATGATCGGCTCCAGTTCGTCGACCAAATCGATGCCATACACCCGTATCAGTGGAACGAAGAGAGAGATGGACTTCACGTTCGGTACTCTGTCTGCGGCATCTTCATCTGGCACGGAAAGTCAATGCTGATGAAGAGGTGCTGCATCACCAGTCTCGCCTCTACGAATCTGAATCAGTTCCTGATCAGGATATCACCGAAGAGCGAGCATCGTGACATCCACTCACAAGTCATCAAGCACAGCGTGGTATGGTGGCAGTCACAGACACGGGACGTTATGCCGAGGTGGTTGCACTCACCGAGGAACACCTACCAGTGATCTACCAGAAAGCCACGGGTCGGCGAGACTCGAGCGGCCTCTCCGGCAGAACCTCGATAAGTTTGCACCGAGTCTTGTCCCATCTTGACCATCCCCTAGTGCCGGACACGATTGCAACCAGTTGTAGTTGCAAAAGCCAATCTTTGACAGTGCGTGTCATGCAGCTACCCGTGTACCTCGAAACGAGATTACCTGTTCCTGAAGCAAGTAGTACGCCATAATGGAAGGCTCGGCGTGGGGGCTCGCGATGGCTTGTCCTACTCGTTTTGTTTATGTTAGGCCCATGTGAGTCTCGCTTGATTAGTAGCATGTACTGCTTCACCCGAATACTTGTAAATGTGCCGTATCAGGTGGCGAACGTCTCGATTTGAAGCGCGATCGTCTAGCTGGTCGTCGGCGAAAAGTGACAAAGCCGGTGCTGCAGTGCCTGAAACACGTCGCGGCAGACGAAATCAGGGCAAGACTTGAGGAGTGGTACATCAAGGATATCGTGATGCGCAGAGTTGTAATTCGTAAATTAATTATTACGGTAAAAGTTCCTTCTTCCAAAGTTCGTCGGGGCCAAAACGCACTGCTCCGTCGACTGCTACCAGAATTACGCTTCGCCGACTTTGCTCAGCGTGTCGAACAACGCCTTTCCGCCAAGAGTTACGAGTGCTCTTCAGCTGAAAGCCCTGGCCCTTGTCGCACTAGATCCGTCACTGCTGTCAAGATGCTGTGGCACGAGGATCCGGTCAAAAGAGGGGTCGATATCTCCTAGTGCCAAGGCGATCCCGCCGTAAAACTCAAAGGTATGACTCCAAGACGCAGTCGTCCGTCGTTTACTCGGCTTTTTGTGCCGTCTCTCGAAGCGTGGGTGCGGTGCTATCCGTCATGGAAGTATCCTTGGCCTCGATATCGGCGGCCCAAAGAGCAGCGCCGACTATAGATAAGCGTCAGTGGTTACTCAAGGCGAAAGTCCAATCCTTGCCGAACATACCTGCGTTTGTGAATGTGAAGAGAACGCTAGCGAAAGGGATCATCTCAAGGGCGGTTGCAACTAGGCCGAAGCTGTGACAGAAGTTAGTCATATGCACACAATACATGCGCGGGTGGACCACAAACGTACGCTGTGTAAGGCCCGGCGTGTCTCTTCAGCCAGTCGGCTCTTCTGGAAGACGACCAGTTCTTGAGTTGGAAGTACTAGATTGGTTGGTCAGTATAATATCCGAGATATGGAAAGGAAGAAACATACACGGCCATGGACGGCTTGACCTCTGCTGCGAGCTGCAGAAACATTAGCTGTGAAATACACAGAGCGACCCACAGGACTTACCCTGGAGGGAGATGAAGATGACGGTTCCCACGACAGGAATGAAGTTCAAGGGCAGGTAGATGAGGTATCTGATGAGTGCCTTGGGGCTGTATTTCTCAAAGGGACTCTTGAGAACCTTGCCCAGCTTCTGCATGGGGTCAGATCCGGGCCTGAGCTGTCTGCCTTCCCTCACAATTCCATCCTCGTCTCTGAGAAGAAGAGTGCCGTCAAATGTGTCCAGAATCGCGTCCTGGAGCAGGAATGATCGCGAGAGGAAGTTGATGATCGCCGAACTCTCGTTCAGAATCAAAAGGACGGTGGTGAAGACGGCTAGCGGGCCGTTCACGAAAACGAGGAGCGCAAGTTGTGGCACGTAGGTGAAGACGAACATGCCAGTGACGACACCGGCAGACAGGAGGAGGTAGGATCCGATGCGTGACAGGAGGGGCTTCCACAGCGTTCGGTGGGTTGCGAAGTAGATGATGCCCTTGATGGGGTACAGGTAGGCCTTGCTCTTGGCAGCATCGGCGACCAAACCTCTCGCCTTGTCGTAGTCCTCTTGCCTGTCACACGTATGTTAGATTGAGGCGCGAGCACGCGGAATGGTGGACAATACGAACAGGACTTCCTGGGCCTTGGTTTGCACAGAGTCGACCATCCTGTTCCTTCCGCCGGAGCTGGAAGACTGGCCCTGAGAAACAGTTCGTTCGTCAGACATGATGGGATAGCTTTCGTCGGGGTGTCGTCTGAAGTTGCAGAGAAGGCTTTCGAAAAGTAAGTTGGTACTGGTAGACGGAACGACGTAAAGATGGGGAAGCTGGGAGATATTGTTTGCGACGTGGCTTGGCCAAGGCACAGCTCTGGCGTATTTATTTAGCCCGAGGATCGTGATCTGACTCCTGCGTGCCTGCCAAAGGCAAGCTACCTTACCTATGGCAGCTGAGGTACGTAGAGCTAGCTCCCTCGCTTTGGTTCGGTGATGGCTGTATGACGTAGTGCTGTGGCGGGAGCTTGACTTCCCTGTGGCTGCATGTGATGTGGCTGAACTACGGACCAAACCCTCCGTGGGGAATCCTTGGCAGCAGCAGCGCAAGACACGACACGACATGGAGCAGATCAATTCTCCTTAGCATTGGTCTAGACTTTCATCTGGTTCGCAGCACTGATTCACAACTTCACAGCGAACCGCGCCTCTGCAGATTGCAAGTCCTTTGGTCTTAACTGGGCTCGATGCTTGCCAACAACAGGGGTCTAGTTGGTGCATAATTAAGGTACCGCCAACCAAAGTCAATTCCATCCTCACATATTCACTTTGTCAGCTCTAATCAATCTAATAACCACCGACCGCTCGAAAGATTCTATCAACGCCAATTTCAAAATATGGTCCAGCTGCCTTCACTACTTTCAAGTTGCTTCCGGTCCTTCCCTTCTTGCAAGATCAACGACGAGAATTGGAGGCTCGGCCCGATCCCGACGAGCCCCTGCCCTCAGGCGTGGAGCTGGTCGCCATGATGGCGAGAGCCAGGTCTCCTAGCCGGCGGAAGGCGTCCTCCCGGGCATCGTGAGCGTTGTCAACAGCCTTGAAAGCGTCAGAGATACCGTGCCGAGCATCGCCCTGACGAGCGTCACGGTGCAGCTCATCAACCACAAGCCGAAGAAATTGGTCCGAAGGCCCGATTGCTTGCGGGTCCCATGCCGCAATCCAGACTTCTCTTCCCAGACGGCGCGAGGCTTCTGTCTTTTCCTCGTCGATTCTTTTGATATCAACCAATACCTTCGAGACCCTTAGGCCAGCTGTGTTGGAGGAACGGCCGCTCCGACTTGGTCCTGCAAAGCTCGGGGCGCACTGAATCTCGCCCATCACTTCATCGTCAGACGCCGTGTTGTAGGCCATTGGAGTGTCCTCATCGGAAGCCGCTGATTGATGATCGTCTTGCAGTTGTGTGTTGTGGTAAGCCCTGGTCACTCTTTCAACATATCGATATAGGTCTTTAATGGCTTTTCGGTCCTGGCATGTCATTATCAGCAAACGTTTCGAAAGACAACCCAACTTTCTGCATTGAACTTACCCCGGCGGACTTCTCGCTCTCGCCCTCAGCCTGTTCTGCCAAAATGATTTGCCTGGTCTTCTCAATGATCTCCAGAGTTTGGGGCCACTGCTCCTTCTGAATCTAGATGGAATTCAGCATTTCACAGCCTCCACCAAGAAATAAACTCCTACCATGAGACAGCGCATGTCCTTATCTTCGGCACATCTTGCGCATTTCATAACTAGAACGGTGAAACGTAAGTAAGAAGATCGTGAATGAGAAAGGTACTTAACGCTACTCACGGTTTCTTTTGCAATAGTAGTTCGCGACCGGCTTTTGCTTCCTGGGATAGACACCAGTGTAGAAACCGAGGCATCGTAGGCACCAGCGGTTGTCCTCCTTCAATGAGTTGGCTGAGGCTTCGGTTCGGGGATTCATCTTTCTGAAGGCAATGCCAACTTTCGACTGATCTTGCTATTGTCCTTGGTACAGACACAAGCAGCTCTAGGGGTTTGGAAGGAGACGGGCTTGATATATGCCTCTGAGAAGTCTACACGAAAAGCGAGGTCTACAAACCGGCGCTTCCGAAATGCTTAGGTGCTTCTAGCTGAGGTCAGTATGTCTGAAGAGACGCCTGTGAGGACAGGCGGCTGACTGTCTTCACCCTTTCAACGCCAAGACCTGAAAGGGGTCTTTGAGAAATGGCCTATAGGATGCCTTTAAGCTGCGTCAGGTGTCTGGCAAGGAAGACGGGATGAAGGTAGCTGGCTTCTCGGCTTCATTCGCGACTGATCCTTGTCTAAGGTACACCAAACGAGCTCCAAAGAAAATCGCACTTTGACAAGATCTACAGCAAAAATTGAGCCATTTTCACAGTTCACATATATGCTTTGTCTAGCTTTCAAGAAGCCAATGAATCAAACTGGTTGTAATATTATGCGCATCATAGAACATGATGCTATTAGGGATTCCGGACTCTTCGACGCTCTCAAGCGACCCTGGTCTCCGTCAATGTCCAACAACGGCGCACTTTGACGAACTACGCCGCTTGTGCCTCAGCGATGATCACATCAGCGGCCTTCTCACTTGCCATGTAGATACCGAGAACGATATAGAACCCGGGAATCTTGGGGAAGATGGAGGCGTCGACCACGCGCAATCCGTCAACCCCACGAACCTTGAAATTAGAATCCAGGACAGCAAGCGGGTCGTCGTCGGCACCAATAGGCGCAGTGCAGCTAGCATGATGACCCCAGGCCTCATCCTTGGCAAATTGCTTAAGGTCTGCCTCGGACGAGATCTCCTTGGGCGGCCAGATGCGCTCGAATGAGCCATCAAGCGGGATCAGGTTCTCAAACGCCTCAATGCCGTACTGCATTCCCTCGTACACAGCCTGAAGATCCTCCTCGCCACCGATGCCCTCGAAAAGGCTGTGGAAGGTGATGTTGGGCGTGTCGCGCGGGTTGGTGCTCGTCAGGTTGACCACGCCGGCGTTGTTACGGCTGTGGCCCTTGAGGGTAAGCCAGGTCCAGACGCTGAGGTCGGCGAGCGCGTGCTCGGCGTAGTTGGGGAAGTAACCGTTGAAGTAGGCCGGCACGCCACCGAGGAAGAGGTCCGGGTTACCGTTCTCCGCGACGGAAGAGTGCTTGAAGTACCCGAAAGCAATGCCGTTGGTCGTGTAGCCGCCCTTGAGGCCGCCGATGCCCGACTGCCACTGAGAGAAGCAGGGGTCCTCGCCGTTGTGCGTGCCGTTCATGTCCAGGAAAGTGCACTTCTCGAGGAGGGAAAAGTCGGTGGGGGCCTTGCCCACGATGCCGACCTCGTACCGGTCCTGCATGTTGCCGCCGACACCGGGGAGGTCTTTGACTACAGGAATATCAAAGGATTCAAGTTCGGAGACAGGGCCGATGCCACTAAGCTTGAGAAGCTGAGGGGTGTTGAAGGTGCCTGCGGATACGATGACTTCCTTGCTAGCGAACACACGTCCGGGGACGCCGCCGTCCACCTTGGTGGCTCGGGGATCGGCACGGTACAGGCTCTTACCGACGAGGTACTCGACGCCAGTTGCCTTGGGCTTCTCGCCCGTCGTGTCAAAGTTGATCTTGGTCACGAGCGTGTTGAGAGCCACGTCCAACTTGTACTTCTTGGACCCGTCATCGTTGGTCGCGGTGACAACATCGAAGATGAAGTCACGAGGGGATGAGCGAGTGAAGGAAGGATCCTTCATGGAGAGCGGAATCTGGTAGATTTTTTCTCCACTGTCACGATCGGGTGAGTCGTTGTTGACGTCGACGGCCAAGATCTCGAGGAGGCCGTTGACGGTGTTGATCACCTTGCCGAGAAGTGACTTGCCCATCGTGGTGGCAGCAGCGAGAACCAGAGACAGCACCTTTTGGTCTTGAACGATGAGAATCGGCGGAGTAGTCTGAGTCTCGAGCCATCCGTCGTAGCCGTGTACGGAGCTGTCGAGGCCGCCGGGGAGGTAGTGACACTTTTCGAGCTTCTTGTAGTACTCTCGCATCTTGGAAGCCTTTGGAAGCCATTATTGTCAGCATTTTCCAGCCAACGCCGAGGAAGTCGGTAATTACTCACCTCCCATGAGCTGTCACCAGTGATGGCTGCAATATTGTTCCAGTCACTGTCCTGAGGCAGGATAGTGACGAGAGCGTTGTGCTTTTGAGATTGTCAGCCAATACGACCATTATCCTAGACTGGGACGTCTTACCTGTGAACAACCACCAAGGGCGCCGACACGAGGATACAAGATTCCCAACTGCTCAGACCCCTGTGGCGGGTCGAGGCCAACATAGATCTCTCCATCCGGCTTTCGATAAGACATCTTGCTGTCCCTCTTGGCCTGCTCCGGATCAGAGTAGTGGTTGACGAAAAAATCCCATGCGATCGGCTGGTGTTGAGAAGCCAGAACGTGTAGAGCCGGAACCTGGACGGCAGGGTCTTCGCCTCGATCCTCGCCGGCGTCGATGAGCAGGACACTGAAGCCGGCCATGGCCAGGCGGGCAGCGAGAGGAGCACCGCCCGGTCCGGAGCCGACTACGACGTAGTCATACGTAGAGTTGTCTGCAGGTCCCGTGGCATTGAGGGTTGGACCAAGAGGTTGATCGAAGCTGGTTTGTGTAAGCCAATAGTTCGCACGATAAGCGTGTAAGTATTGACTAAGACTAGGTGTGCGAACTTACGCTGCATGAGCTGCCGCGAAAAGCGCTGCAACAGAGAAAAGGAACTTCATGGTAACATCCAATGAAGGTGACTGAAACGCAACCGAAAGCAAAAAACACGATAAATGAGTGACTGGCTGGCGATTTTATTGAGATGCAAAGGAATGACTACTGCCAAATGGCTGAGAGTTGGTGGAACCAAGACGGGCGAAGCGACTCAAAAAGTCAGAACCTCAAACGTTATGTATGGGCTCATGAGAACGCTCCTTTTCGGACTCATTTCGAACGCATCTCCACTGATTGGCGATGCTGAGGTGATGAGAGGCATCATCTCCCGCGAAGCCGGCACGCTCATGAAGGGGGCACGGGAAGTGAGACATGGGGAAAAGATACTTTGATCTGCCAGTTCCCTTTCCTAACTCGAGGTTGCATTGGCGCCGACGACTCTTTGGCATGCCTGTCGAGGATTCAATCAGGGTCGTAGACGAAATGAAAGAAAACATGGGTCCTGTCAAAACGTCAAAACACCACCCCCGGATCCTGCTCCGCCAATGGGGAAAATTGCTGCCCACACCAATGGAGCTCTACGACAAGCAACCGTCCAACAGAACAAGCATGGCAGAACCTTGCTGAGCGAGCAGAATCCGACGTGGACACATCCACAACCAGGGGTCACGGATTGAGAAACGATAGCCCTACACTTGGCCCCATTGTCCGAACGCTCTTTGGACGACGGGTATGGAGATTCTAGAGGGGCCCATTGCTTCGATGCCACTTCGATTCACGCAACGAACGAGAGACGGGAGACAGACTGGAGACAAAATAGACAGACCAGGCGCGCGAGCACTTACCGCCTCCTTGTTGTCGGGTTGGCCCCGGTTAGAAGAACCGTTGATCTCACTCTTACTGCCGTTGCAGTGCATATACAGAATACCAGGAATAACGAAAAGCATGTTAGCGATCCCCTGCGGTTCATTGGCCACTCGCGAACCCCTTCCTTCCCCCATCATGACAATTTAACCGCTTTGGGACTGAGCTCAACGGTTTGGACGTCGACAGGCGGGAGATGGAGAGACAGAGAGATTTGGCTTTTACGTAGCCAAGTTAGCTCAACTGCCGCCGCTAAGAAATCTGACCACTCTTTCGGAAAGTTTACTCGTAAGTTTGCTGGTCGAGGGCTCTAGCGAACCGTTTTTGACCGGCATCTGCATCCGGCGCAGGCCACATCCAAGTCTCCTCAGTCTTCTTGCGGAATTTTCCTTCTCAACTTCACCAGGGGTTCGACGACGATCCAGAGCAAGATCGTCGGCTACAAGGCAACGCAGAAATGACTCGCCCACTCTAGAGCGACTCCAGAATGAAGAATTTCAGGGACAGACTCCCAGAGAGAGACGAACCCGAGAGCCAAGGATCACGGCAGATGCCGCCATCTATGAGACGAACTTGACAAGCGGAGGGAGGATGGCACGCAAGCCACGATATGAGGTTAAAAGTGACACCCCCTTCTTCCTCTTCTCTAAATCCGGTCTAGGGAAGTCCGTCTCTCTCTCGGCTACGATTTACATACTTGAAAAGGAAACCCGGAATCCCGCTTGTGCTTCTCGTCCCCATCCTTTACTGCTCTCTCGTACGACATCCCCCCTTCACGATATCGGTCGCCATGAAGCTTTCAGGCATGCTGGCGGCCATGGCCACAGCCCTCGCGGCCTTCTCTTCAACGGCCCAAGCCGCGACTTCAGCTGCGGAAGCGTTGGCCATGGCTCAGAAACTATACCCGGAATGCGCAGTAAGTATTGAATAGTGGGCGGATCTCCCGCGCTTAGCGTCAAGACGGTGGCAATTTTTTTGGCTGATCAGTGCGGCATCCCCATCTTTTCCCGACTACAGCTCGTCTGTCTCACCAAGCTTGTCCCGACGTCGGGTTGCCAGCTTACGGACACTGCGTGTCTTTGCACCAACGAGGAGCTCAATGCCAACCTCTCCGTCTGCGTGTTGCAGGGATGCAACTTTGAGGATGCTCTCAGTAAGTGCCTCTGCCTTGCTTTCGCTTTGAGACCTGTATAAGGCATATTCTCAGCATCCCAAATGGGAAGTTTTGACTGACTCGTATTGATACTGCGCTAGAAACTAAGAATGGCTCGGCGACCATGTGCGGTCTACCTGTCCGAGATGATACGATGAAGCCTCCTCTCGTAGCAGGTGTAGGATTCGGTATAGCTCTCATCATTTACATACTCCGTATGTGTTCTGCTCTGCCTGGATGCAACAGAGAACTCAGCTGGGATGACTGGACCATCACCGCTTGCGTTCTTCTCACGATCCCGCCAACCGTCTTTGCCTTCACACGTAGGTGTTCCTCCATAAACACGTGTCCCGTGTAAGTTGAGACTGACTGATCTAGTTTCTGCAAATGGATTGGGAAAGGACATTTGGACTCTGCCCCTCCAGAACGTTGAGAACGTACTGTTTGTAAGTGATCATACACACACACACACACACACACACACACACACACACACACACACACACCTTATCTCAACTAAGAACAAGAACAACGACTAACACTAACGGCCTCTCTCACCATAGTTCTACTTCCTCGGCGAGCTCTTCTACTTCCTCGCCCAGGCAATGAACAAAGTCTCTATCCTCCTCTTCCTCCACCGCATCTTCCAGCACAACAGCCTCGGCAAGGCCATCTGGGTCACAATCGGCCTCACCCTGGCCTACGCCGCCGCCTTTTTCTTCGCCACGCTCTTCCAGTGCTGGCCCATCAACCACGCCTGGCTGCAGCTCGAGTCGGATCACATGGGCCGCTGCAACAACATCCATCTTCAGGGGTGGTTGAGCGCGGCTTTCAATATCGTGCTGGATATCGTCATCTTGGCGCTCCCCTTGCACCAGCTTTATCAGCTGCAGATGCCTCTGAAGAAGAAGCTCATGGTCATGGTTGTATTCTCCATGGGCATCTTGTAAGTCCTTTCGGGCCCCTGCTTCTCTGTTACCCCGCCATCTTAACAAGGGGGCAGGACTAACTGGCATCCTATAGCGTCACCCTCGCCAGCGTAATCCGCCTTCGCACCCTCGTCGTCTTTGCAAACTCGACAAACATCACGTACGACTACGTCGACGCGGCCTACTGGAGCACAATCGAGCTCTATGCCGGCATTATCACGGCGTCCCTCCCCGCCGTCTACAAGTTCCTCTCTAGCGCCTTGTCCCAAAACGCCGCCTGGTCGGCCGTCAAGTCCAAGCTGTCTGGCGCGTCGTCGGGCTCGAGGGGAACCGACAACTCGCACTCGGCGGTGGCGACTGGTTCCAGTGGTCTGAATCGACGGCTCACGCCAAAGAGGTCTGAGGCCGAGTTTGTTCTTTTGACGGATGTTGAGAGCGGCAAGAGTCAGAGGTGGGACTAAAATGCGAACAGCTTGGAAATAACGTAATCCAACAGTAACGCAATGTATATAACATCTTCAATTTCTTCTATTACACACGATACGTTCACTCCACTTGGTACTTGCCGTACGCAAGCAAGTCTTTTATACATCTTTTCTAGAAGGCCTCACTAGATGGAATTGCTATGGACAATCCAGCAAGATACAAAGCCACTTCGAGAGCGTCCTGGACTCAGATCTTCACCAATGCCAGGCTGCGATCACTAAGCTGCGCATGTCTTTAGACAATCGGTATCGGAGTCTTGGTACTAGGTCTCGAACTGTTTGAGACGGTTCATGACCCAGAAGAGGAGTATCTCTGTCCCGTCAAGTGAACTATACGTAATTTTGCTCATCAGCGAAGGGAGGCACCATCTGCGTATTCGCTCATGAAAGGTCGAACGATAGAGAGAAGTTGAGACGAAGAAGAGACATCTTACTACGACTCATGCCTGCCTTGGTCCTGGGGCCCTTGATGATCGCCATCCTCTAGAAGACAAGGTGCTGGACTCAGGTACACCGTCCGAACAAAGGGGCCCCGGCACTACAAGGAGCTCTGGAAACACGGAGTGTTGTCTGCCAAAAAAAGCCGAGACTCTTGGGAATTACCTGTTGTTGGCTTTCATTGAAACCCGGGCCATACAAGAATACCAAGATTGCAATACCGACATGCGCTCATCCCATCCAAGCGCACGACAATCACTGACGAAAAAGGAGAAGACTAGACGCTGATAGTCGTATTACCCTTCCCACCATTGACCCAGACGGATTTCTCCCCCGGAAGCACCAGATATCCCCGAGTCGACGCCGGTGTATCCCATTCAATGACAGCCGTTCCATCATCCCCAACAGTAAACTTTGCAGAAAACCTGCCCAAGCTCGTCGTGAACCCAGCCTCGGCATCTGAGAGTTCGCTCAACACAGGTTTGAACTGCCACTCGCTCCCACCGGGCTTTATGACCCTTAGTCCGACAAGATACTCCGTCATAGTCGAAGTCGGGCCACTGCTCCACCCATGAGCATGCGAGATGTAAGAAGGATCGTTCCGGTACCCGCGATCTCCTCGATAGCCCCATGTTCCATCGATGAGATACCCCTCCACGACGGTAGACTGCGTGCCGTTGGGGTTGTTCAGGTACCAGCCCCACGCGTCTCGGATAAGCTGCAAGGCGCGATCGGCGCGTCCCGTCCGGAAGTGCGAGGCGATTTCGATGCTGGAGATGAATGGCGACACGTTGTTTTTGAGTTCGGGGCAGTGAGGGCCGATCGGGGTCCAGTTTGATTCGAGGTAGTCAGACACTTTTTGTGCTTCGGCGCTGTCTGCGGAGACGACGCCAAAGGCAACTGCCATGCTGTTCGCGTCTTGAGGATACAGCGACGTGTTGTTGGGACTCTCCTTGAACGCCCCCTTGCTGTCATCCCACATCTCAGTCATGATGGACGCTTGCAGCTTGCTCGCGGCGCTGGTCCATTCTTTCTGGTAGCTGCTCGCGTTCGTGAGGGTGGGAGACCAGGAGGCGATGTCGGCACCGGTGCGCAGAGCTCGATATAGTCTGGCGATTGAGTTAGCAACTCTATCCCTCGGCCGCGAGGAACAATCACCTACAGCATGCTCGCTGAGCTGCGCTCAGTGGAGTATGTCCATCGGCCCCAATCTGCGGCGCCGGTCACGTTCATGATACCCTTGGATGTGACTTTGCTTCTACTGAGGTTGATCGCTTTGAGGTACTTGGGCCAGATGGAAGCTAAGAACTCCGCGTCGCCGGTGTACAAGAAGTAGTTGTAAGTGCCGACTAGTGTCCACAGATGGTAGGCTATGGCAGCGCCGTCAGCTTGACTTCACGTCATCCTAACCTTGTCTCAACTTACTGTCGCTATCCTTCGAGAGATATGGTGGACCGGCCTTTGGCAAGGTACCATCGGAAGACTATTGAACCAGTCGTTCAGCAGATTCAAGTCCCATTATATTTGGAGCTCACTCACCTGATAGTTGTAGATCGCCAAGAGAGCATTCTTGGTGCTCTCCATGTCGCCGGTACTCACAAACGCAGAAGGCACCGCGGTCCCCATATCCCCAATCCAAACCCAGCGATCACGCTTCGCTCCATCTAGAAGGACGGTCTCCCCAGGCCCAATGTAAGCGTCATTCTGCCAGCTCGTGCGTCCACTCGTCCCAGAAACACGACCAGTCTTGCCCGGCACGGAGTTCGTCTGGATGGTATACGCCCCGCTGTACCAGATCCTGTTGAGGAGCTCATCGCTGGAGTGGAAGTAGCCCTGATAGGCCCTAAGATCGGACCACGTCGGCTGGAAGCTGATCTCCAGACTAATGTTGCGAATCTCCAGCGAGACGGTGGACGACGAGTCGGAAGGCGTGAGGAATAGAGTCAGATACCGGAAGCCGCCGCGCAGCTTCGGATCGGGCATGGTGTAGGTTCCCGCTTGGTCCGAGGTGATGTTGTATGCGAGAGCGCCGTCTTGTCCGGTGCCCCCATTCGAGTTGTCTGACTTGCGACCAATGTAGTTTTTCGCCTCTGTGAAAGCGAGGCCGAGAGTGGCGTTGGTGGACTGAGAGAGCTTGTAGTCGATAGTCACAATGCCACCTAATTCGACGCCAAAGTCAAAGACCAGGCCGTCGATTTGACTGGAAAGATTGACCGGTGCGTTGAAATCGGATATGTTCGCTCCAGATGGCGAGGATAAGATGTACTTTGGTGTTACATTTCGAGAAGAGGGAGCATAGTTGTACTGGTCCCATACTCCTGGGAACGAAGCAGAGCTTGGTCCATCGCATGTCGTGTTTCGCCAGCATTCAGCAGAACAGTAATTTGCAAGAAGAGTTATTGCCCAGACGGCTCGAATTGACGGTCGTGATATCAACATGCTGGAACTAGGTATGCCGTTGTGACTGCAATGGTGCAAAAGGAAGTGGTGCGACCTGGTCAAGTTCCGATGATACGAGGCATACCAAGCGCCTTAGACTTTATGCTGAGGCGGTTGTGGGAAATCATATTCATGAGACAAGAAGCCTTGGTGGAATATCTAGACTGCTTTCCCTGCCCCTTAACAGCTGAGCTTCGGCTGCCGTCACATTTACTTGCGCGGAGTCACCCTCAATTGAGTCCATCTTCGGTGTAGATTGCCGCGGATGACGCCAATCACAGCAGTTACAACCCAGGCACCGATCCAGAAGCGGGAATACCCACGCATACCCTAGTATTGCACTTTACCAGATTGAGGACCGAACTTCATGTCGGTCATGGGGTTCCCCAACTTCTACTTGTGTACCCCGCAATGCCTCTCCATACGAATTTGTACGGATACACCAAAGGGATGTGGATTTGTTTTCCTTTGGGCCGATGATGCTGATTTGCGTTGAACTTGGATCGTGATCAAACATGGGTCTGCGATGCTGTGATGTAACCTGCAAGTTCCCCCCCGGATAGCTCCAGGCGGGCGACCGAACTCGGTCTCATCTTTTTCTCGGGATGAAATGATCCGAAGATACGATGGATGCCTCGACATAGTATGAATTCCTGTTCAGCGAGAGAGGTCCTGCGACGCCCCCAGAGATGCTGAAGAGCTTGTCTCGTGAATTATGGGCGGGAAGATGTAGACGTCTGAATTTGGGATTTGAGACGGATTTAACCTAATGATTCTACTTCGTCGTCAAAGCTAAACTTTGAAGCACCACTTCAAGTCTCATCCGAAAGGTCAGGGCAGATGCATCGTCTCGAGGTCGGATTTTGCGGCTCTTATGCTGAGAAGGAAGAGAAAGACGGCAACTTGGTTGACACCAATCTGTTGGTTTCTCGTTGTCATTCAGCACACTACTCTAAAGCCATGCTGGCTGTAGGTATTCCTCGACAACGAACCTAGGACCCCTTTCCTCTACCCCCAATCCCACTTGAGTACTCGAAACAGAGCTAGAGGCGAAGCTGCTGGGTTCGTGAGAGGATATGATAGCCCGAAAATGTTGGCCGAAGCTTTGTGGTCCGAGTCTCAGCTGGTGGACTCTAGACAGAAGGGTGCTCCGAGGATCCAAATCTCCAACGAACCGTCCTTCCAGGTATTGACGAGGGCCTGAATGGTCAAGTTAGGAAGAAATTTTCTGTCGTAATGAAATGCCTTACTTGTTAGTTGATGACTTGAAATACTCTTCCTAGTCATGAAAGTCGGTCGCGTCGAACAAGCAGCTTGAAATCTTTCCTAACATTTTTGGCGAAATCACTTCATGACAGCTCCTTCAGCTTCAACATCCACCGACACAGTCACCTAATAAGCCAGCTACAACTTACACAATCCCAGCAACACAATATGGAACGTCTCAGACGACTGCTCGTTCGTCACAACCACCGTCTCTTCCAACGATTCCCAACGGACACAACAAAGCCGTCCTCTGCAGACAACGCTTCACCGATCCAGTCCCTCCCAAACGAGATCCTGTACCAGATACTCAGGTCCCTCCCGCTACACGACGAATTCGCTCTCTCCCACACCTGCAAAGACCTTCGAGCCCTCACGCACAGAGACTGGACCCTCGCCCTCGTCTCACTCCCTCGCAACCAAAAGCTCGCCTTCTGGATGGGCCTCGCCTACACCAAGCCGAACCACTGGGTCTGCAGCCCCTGCTGCTGTCTTCACAGGATTTGTACGCAAGATATCCCCGGACCCAAAAACCACAACCCCTTTCCCTGCCAGCAAAACTCTCGCCACATTTTTCATCCGAGGAACTACAAACTCCGGCATGCGCACGTACAGCTCGCTCTTAAATTGGCTCGTATGAGTGACAGCGGAGGACTAGACGAGACCCAGCAACGACTCCTCGAGGACATCATGGCGCCATTCACATCGCGAGTAAATGTACCGGCAAACCTCATCTCCACCTCGAGCGGGTACGCCATCAGGCCCAAGATCGTCGACGGCAGGTTCCTGATTCACGTGGAGCACGAGGTCCGCGATAACCTCGAGGCCGGCTTGCTTCGGATGACCTGTTCCAGGCGCGTCTGTCCGCACTTGATGATCTTGCTGGAGCCCAATAACCAATTTATTTTCGACGACGACGGCGTCAACATCGACCAGTGGTTGGGCTGGGGCCACACCCGGTATGAAAGTAGATACATGGCGTCCTCGGATGTCATGGACGGCATCCGCGTTGCGGTCGACGGGCATGGGTACGAGTCGCCTGGCCACTGCTACCGTTGCGCGATGGATTACACGATTATTGCGTCGCACGGTGTTGTGACACTTCGCTCGTGGCATGACTTGGGGGCGTATGGGTCACCTGAAAGTGACGAGTGGATGGTGAATATTCAGACGACGGAGAATGACTCTTCCAGGGGACCGACCGTATCTCATAAGCTTGGTAGGGTGCAGAAGATGTATCTCAAGGGCTGATAGACGCCTCGCATTATTTTGAGGTTGACTAGCGAGACAGCTCAGCTTTCCTATAACTGAGATTAGTATAGAATACTCATGTAACTGCTCTGGTGAAGCTAATACAACTCATGTACTTGGCCCTTAAAGGAAAGCAGGCAGCTTCTTGAATCCAGAGCTAGAGACTGAAATGGAGATCCTATGTATTATCAAGACGCCATCTGTGCGCCACGCGTCCACGCAAGTAAGGGTGCCCGGTTGGCTGCTGCCACGGTAGATATCTTGAGGATTCCGGCGGCAGAGGTCTATGTCTATATCTGAGCAAAGTCTACTCCCAAATGATTTCCTAACCAAGCTCTAAAAGTCACATCACAGCTTCTCCTGTGTCTTCTTCCGCTTCTCCATCCCAACAAAATACGCTTCCGCCTTGGCAAGAACCGTACCATGCTCGTCAGTGATCTCCGCCTCGACCAAGAACTTCCTAGGCCCGTCCATCCGCTTCAATACCGCCGTGCAAGCCACCGTCGACATGGTCGGCACCGGCTGTATGTACGTGATGTTCAAGTTCTGCGTGACCTGCGGCAGCATCGGCATGAATCCCAGCAACTTGTTGATAAACCCGATCGCGCCCATGCACTCGTCGAATATGGCCGCGACAGCACCGCCGTGGCACCACTCCTTCTTGAGCGTGCTCAGCCCGTGGCCGAGAGTCAGGAAGCAGCGGACCTTGGTCATGTACAGTTCGTCGAGGGGCCGGTTATCGGGAGGTTGTCCGTCGGCGCCCGGTGGTGGCGAGGGCATGTGGAAGCAGCCGATGAAGAAGGGCACCGTGGCCGCGCTGAAGAGCGTGGAACCCCAGAACTCAAAGATGCGGTTGTCTGGGTCGAACTCGCGGCTGACGAGGGGTCTGGCGATGATGCCTGGTTCCGAGAGGACTTTGGCGCACCACGGTATCCCCTGGAAGTGCGCGATCTGGTCATCCCATGGTTCCGGCATGGCGATGGAGTGAATGGACTGCTCAGACGAAGATCAAACTGCGCGAGTCAAATTTGGAGCTATTTCGTGGTGCAATGGTGAAGATCACTTATCCTTCCGTAGCTACTGTCCCGGGACATGATGTCTGGTAGGGTCAAGACAGTTCCTAAATAGGACAGCTCTTGGCACCTAAAGAGAATCAGTAGAAGTTACGGAGATTAAAGCAGATGCAGCTGTCCGGAGTGTCGCGATAAGGTGAGTGATAGCCTGATTAGTGAACTTCAAGAAAGTTCTCGAAGGCCCATCAAAAAGCTAGGTTCAAAGAAACTTAGATAAATACTGCAGTCAATCTCTAGTTGCTGAATCGTCAGAAAATTAAAGGAAAAATATGCCGGCAGACTCTATTTGTTGCATGTGGTGGCATGACCTTGGCATGAAGCTCAGTATCACTAATCAAGAACAGCATGCCAGCAGGACCCCGAGCCGTGGCCGGAGTTTCTGATTGCCGCCACTATAGATATACGAACTTTCGATGTGGTTTGTCCACTCAAAGTGATATCTTATCTTAGATTAACACTACGTTTGCTGCTCTCGGATCCTCCGCAGTTGCGACATCTGGGAAGCCAAGGTCGCCATCCGCTAGTCTCCAGATGTGAACAATAATGGCAAAGCTGGCTTGCAAAAGATTGCTTCCTCAACTTACACCGTAGTTCTCGGCAGCCTGCAAGATCTTAAACGCCTCAGGAAATCGAGACTGGGTGGTACACTCAAACGGAACCGGGCGTCTAGCATCCAAAGTCAGCAACAGCAACAGACTGGCGAGAGTCCAGGGGCATCTCACACAACGACACCGTCATCGACACACCCATCAACATCTATAGGGACACTCAACCCATCGTATCCCACCTTCGGCTCAATCTTCATCGCCCAAAGCACCGTCGCGATAGTGATGAAGAGATCCTCATTCGCAATCTGGCGCCCGACGCACAACCGACGGCCGAAGCCAAACGTGACGTGGCCCTGTTCTTTCGTCTCCGCCGCTAGCGGCTTGAGCTGCCCGGTCTTGGGATCGAGGAACCTGGCCGGGTTGAAGTGATGGGCGTCCGGGCCGTACGTTTGTGGATCACGGTTCATGGCCCAGACGTTGGGGATGAGCAGCGAGCCTTTGGGTATAAAATAGCCTTCGTACCATATGTCCTATGAGAAAGAGTCAGATGACTGAGAGATTGTAGATGCAAGGCTGTGACTTACCTCAGAGCTCTGATGTGGAAGACCTATTGGGTCGACGGGTCGCCAGCGAAGTGACTCCTTGACCTAGAGAGATCCAATGGTCAGCAATGTGGGTTGCCGCAACAGAGAATACTTAATGAAAAGCTGAAAACTTGCCATAGCTTGAATGTAAGGTAGCTTCCCATAGTGATCGGCAAAGTTCGGCATCGCCTCGCGTCCCACGACGCGATCCAGTTCCTCCTGGGCGAGCTGCTGCACCTCGGGATAAACGACCATAGCTAGCATCCACCACTCGAGCACGCCCGTGATCGACTTTGCACCGGCGCTGGAGAGATTCCGTCAGAAGATTGATCACCTCAAAAAGGGTCGGTATACCCCGCAGACGGACTTACATGACGCTCGCCGCGAGCCAGTTGATTTCCGTGTCGGACAAGTTGCACCGGCTCTGGTCCTTTACGAAGTTCTTGACGAGACAGTTGCCGTTATTGACACCTCTCTGAAGGATATCTTCAGCACACGAAAGCTTTCAAAGACAATAGAGGTCACCCATGCAACACTCACCAGTCGGGCCTCCTCGAACCAGCTCCCAAAGATAGCAGAGTCCGCCGCAAACGAATCCTCCACGCGCCTCTTCCAAGGCGCGAATCTAGACCCAGAATATCAGCATCATCCCAGCCGCAGCGATTACACTGTTCAATCTGCCAAGTAAACGTACCTAGACGGCACATGTCTCAACCAGGGGAAAACCTGACTCAAATGCGCACCAGGCAACGCAGCCTTGGTTATCCGCGCGACAAAGTCCTCAAGCCAAACCAGCTTCAAATCGCTCGCCGACGCGAGGGAAGGCGTCCCGTATACCAGGTTCATATTCGCCGACGATACCGCCCGGTGGAGGTGTGACAGCCAGTCCCGCGGGTCCTTGAGCATGTCCGCCGCCAGGAGTGTAGCCTCCTTTTGCTGGACGAGGCGGATGTCTGGGAAGGAGATGCTCCGGAGCGCCGTGTGGGAGGCCTTGCGCATGCGCAGCCACCTAGAACGTCGTGGTGAGTCCTTCTGTTCTCTTTTTCCCTTTTTGTTGTTTCTCTGGATGTATGGAGACGTACATTGCATTCTGGCTTTGGAACGGCACGAAGCAGGACCCCGTCATCATGTCTATGATGACATTACCGGGCCGGTCTGCTGTGACGGCAGCGCGACGATCCAAGATGTCGAACGAGGTTTTGAGGTCGTTGAGGACGATTACATCGCTTCCGGCGGCGATGAAGTGCATGATGGGGCCTGGTTTGGGTCGTGTTAGTCGTTTAGCCGGTGGAGGGCACCGCGGGACGAGCATACCATACGTCTTCATCCAGCCGCCGAACGTCAGCCACGGATCTTTGAGGATGTCGAGGGCGTTTCCGAGGAGGGGCAGCCCTCTCGGGCCTGGCGGGAGACGTCGTCTCGGGCTTCGAGCGTATGTAAAGACGAGAAGGAAGACCGAGACCACGACGAGAGCCGTGATGGGCCTGTAAGTCCACAAGAGACGTAGGAGAGCATCGGCGACTTGCATTCTGGCGGTCATGGATTCTTTTCAGCGTGATGAGCTATCACTGATGGCAAGCCATTGTCCCCTTCTTATGTCGCACAGATGCTTTCTCTTGATATATCTCATATACAGCCAACAAGCCGACATAGGGTCAGGCTCCGCCGGACTTGCCGGCTTTCTCAAGATCACCGTGACCAACGCCTTAGCCTGGTGGTCGTCCAACAGAGCAAACAGTCCAGCGTAGGAAGTGTTCAGCTTCCGTAGCCTCTAGAATGTCTCGCCACTTGCATCCAATAGAGTCCTTAGATTTAAGATTCGAACCGTCGGTCAACGATGCGCTGCAATACGGGCAGAACAATTGGCCTGTTGGAAATACGACCCCTCCCCACGCAGGGAGGCTCAAGAACTAGATTCTCTGTCTTTCCAAAGCGATTCTTGCCTCCTTTCTTAGCTCAGGGTTCATCATGGGCCGGAGATATGGCCCGGACTTGGGAGCTTCTGAGCTGAAGAATTCAGGGTTTTCGATATAAGGCTACGGCAGAGGCGTTGTCAAAGGTACATTAGTACCTAATTAGCCCCGGGTTTGTGAATTGTTTGCTCCCTGCGCCTCTGTGTCTCTCATTGCGTGTGAGACTTGGCTGGATCACTTGGGTCCCAGCCAGCCTGCTTTTCCCCGTTGCGAAGGGTACGTTGTGGCTTGGATGCAGGGATGAGGCAACTCTCTTCCAGGCCGGTCGAACCAACAGCGGAGCTAACGAAAGCCTGATCCGGGGCCCGTTAATCTGTCCAGATAGTAGTTCGTACCAGACATCGACATGGGCAAACACATCTAAACCTATCAAACCAATGGCGTGGTACAATCTGAAGGGGCTGGAGATATGGAGGGGTAAATACTCAGGTGTGGGCAGCCTCAGTAATTGACTGTGTCCAATCCTGTTGCGTTCCGTGGTTCCCAACGCTTGTTGGTCGCTACCCGCGAGCTAGGTATGCGAATGTTTGTCAAACAATGCACAAAGAAGCTAGCGTCTTCGTTGGACACCACCTTGTTGTGTTGGAACCTCCCTATTGGAAATGAGGGATTTGAGACATGGCCGCGAGGAGCTACTTCACCCGGAATTAGAGCCCTGGATGCCCGGGCCGCCAAACCACGAGCCGCCAAACCATGATCTGCTTGGTGCCTCCGGCTTCCGGATCGGCAGCGCCTCCACTTCCCAGTCGGAGCGGAACCCAGCGCCGTCATGTCAAGCCCGGGCCGAAGGAACCCTGCCCCATCAAGCTCTGCGGATCATGATCCATCACTCTCCGGTAATGTGTGTATGTCGGCGAAAACTTAATCAAACTCTCTGGTCCACGTCGGCTCGACGCCGCGTCGGCCCCAAAAGATAAACGTATCCAAACCGTATAGTCAACGTAAGTTCCCTCTGCTGTGGAGGAAACACCATTGTCAGGTACAAACGGAACGTTGAAAGACTAAAAGAACCAAAACAAGTCAACCGCAAACCCAAAAGGTTACGCCCAAGACTGTCGTTCTCCCCTCCCCGAAGAACTCAAATCTCGCCCTACCTCACCCTCTCTCGGCACACTCAACCTTTTCATGGTCAAGAGAGGGTGTGTATATGTTACCAAGAAGGAAGCTCAGGCGAAAACAGGGGAGAACTCAAGTAGAAAGCAAAACAAAGCAGAAGGAGAAGAGGAGAACGGCCAAGATGTCAGTTCACGTCGGGTCGTCCCCGAGACTCAGACGGGACCGGCGCCATACAACCTTTACCTTTATCTCGGGACGTTGCGATGCTTTTGCTTCAAATATTCAGGCGAAACTTCTGACTTCAGCCACTTTGTCAACTTTGCGTTCTACTCGCAGACGCCGCGGTGCAAGTGAACTCGGGACGACAGCGGTCACGCCTCTCGGCACCGACCGAAAAACAAAGTGATAACTTCTCTACGGCGCGTAAGTTAAGTTCTGTGTTTCCCGACGGAGAAAATACGGACTTTTGATCTGAAGCGGCTCGCCGAGAAGGGGCGCCTTATGGAGGCGAGTCGCGAAGCTTGCGATTCAGATCCAAGGTTTTGGTACCTGCATCATCACAGGCGAATTATGGTAAGGTAAGGTAAAGCAGACGTTAAACCTGCGCAACCATAAGGTAAAGATCGATAGTAGAGGGCAAAAGAAAAAGGGCAAACAACCCGAAACCACGTTGCGGGAAAGTGCGTAAAAGTCATGGCCTAGACAAAGTCCGACATATTACAGAATCCTTCACCTGGTGAACCTTGAACACGGTACTTTGGAGGGTGGAGTCAACCTGCTTATCGTGCACTCTCTCATTCAGTGGCACACTTGCGAAAACCGACGATAAATCAACTCGAAACCAAATACGCTGAAAGCCAAAAGGGAGATGGGGGAAAACGGGTACAACGGCCTCGCAGGAACAGACGGGAATAGGGAAGAGCAAAAAAAGCCAGAAAGGAGAAGCTAAACCTCAAGTCAGGTACAACTCTCAAAGTTCAAGTAAAAAGAGTCATGCGAACAAACCTTCCGGCGCAAGCTCAATCGAGACCACCTTGCGCGCGCGCGTATGTGTGCATGGAATGCGAATCGAAAAAGAGAAACTTCAAGATTAAGCTCCCCAAAGGCAGAAATAAACATCAATCAATCTCTCTCCTCGCTCTCCCCCTTCCGAAACGTTAAAAAGAAGATCTCCTAATTAATATACCTCCACTAATCCGTACCTTACCTTCGCTGCTAAAGCTCCGTCGCCCCCTTCTACAGGACCTCAAACACCCCCTGCCCAGAACCCTCCTCGCACCACACAAAAAGTGCCATCCCAACCCATGACACCTGCCCCAATCCACAATCCATAGGTAACCCAGATTCCAGCCTCGACTCGTGACATCACAAGCCCGGACCTTGAGCCTCAAGCCCTGTATTCGTAAATATAACTCTGTCTGTTAAGGCCGTTCTACGGTACCGCAAGCCCGCAAGTCCCCCCCTCCGTCGCAAGATCCCTTCCATCCGTCCCAACTCCGGCACTAAAAGAAGAGAAGAATGGACAACGTGAAACGCGTCTCAACTCTTTTTACCCTATCTTTCAACCCCTCTCAAGACCTGCCAAGTCGAACGCCAGTCTCCAACCCACACACACTTATCCCACTCAATGGCACACAGTAGCACGCAACGCTGGAGAACCCAGCTTAGTCATGTACAAATCCCTCCCATCAGGCCTACTAAAAGATCCCCCCAAAACAAGCAGACCGGGCACCCTGGCCACCAACCCCAGCGCATAACACGGCCCCCCGGCCGAGACATGCGCCCCCCCATCATCGCGACACGCAGATCAGACGCCGCAGCTCGGACCGCTGCTCGGCACCGCAGCTTTCACTGTACAGGTTCACCAACATCAGAGAAGAGACGTTCGGCGCAGCGTTGCCGGTATACCTCCTGCCACCCCGACTTTCACTGAGATGGGGTGACATCGTGACTTGTCATCTGTTAGTGAATCGCGGAACTCCTAGACGAAATGTCACGACATGTCAAATCAGTAAGAACCAAAGAAGCAAGCAAAAGTAATCCAAAAAACTGTGTGCACTCTCTACTGGAATTGTGTCTTCCATTTCTTTCCAAGCCATGCTGCGTATCCTGTCAACGGAAAAACAACTCCCTCTAAATGTACAGAAAGGTCGGATCGTAAGATTTTGTGTCATGGTGATGAGGTGATGAGATGTGTGTGGGAGGGTTATCGGGGAGAGGGGGGACATTAGAACAATAATATAGAGGGGGAGGAGTTTGCCAGTGTTGTCGTTGATGATGTGTGAGTGTGTGGTATCGAAGCACGGGGAGCGCTGGTTTTCATCAAACAAAAGAAAAAACCATCCACGCCAACCTGCTCATCTAATAACCTCCCTGCCAGTTCGTGTAGAATATAACAACCCCAAGAAATTTAAAAACAGAAAAACACCAGAACACTTTTTGGCGACCCGGGTGAACCCAAAAGCATGGAGACTTGTCGTTGTATGTGATGTAAAAGGCCCGTGTTGTCCGTATCAGCGCGCGCGTGCATATCCCAATAATCCCTCGGTTGTTTTGTCGTCCTTGTCGTCGAAAGGCATTCCGATTATGAGAGCTCCTGGATGCAGGTCTGAACCTGGGCATCACAGTCGGCCGTGGTGACCCCGTTCAACTTTCCACCGTTGAAAGCATTGAAACAGGCATTCCGTTGAACATCGCAAGCACGCTGCGCCGCATTGGCCTTGGAAACGAACGAGTTGCCATTGACGGAGAATGGTCGGCTGCTATCGCCAGAGTCCGAGACCGCCGGGGCCGCGATTCCGCCGATAGCGTTCGACGTCGCGCCTCCCTTGCCAGATCCAGAAGAAGTGTTACCGTTGCCGTTCTGTCCGGATCCATTGCTGTTGGCCTTGCCATTGTTGGAGGCACCTCCGCCCTGGGTGGGCGTCGGCGTCGCTGCCGCCGGGTCTACCGAAGGAGTCGCCGTCGCGTTCTTCGAATTACTGGCGGCGTCCCCGTCCTGGCCGGAGTTGTTAGCATTGGGAGTTTCCTGTGTGTTTCCGGTCTGGGATTGTGTTGTGGCCTGTCCAGGGGGTGCGCTTCCAGGGAATTGAGGAAATTGGCCGGGGAATTGGCCTGGGAACTGTGTGTTTGGAAATCCTTGAGGGGGGTTCTGAGGTGTTGCTTGAGCATTACCTTGACCAGCGCCTCGTCCGGCACCGCCACGAGCGGCACCTCCTGCAGCACCGCCTGCGGCAGCGCCGGCGCCTTGTCTGCCTCCGGCTTGCTTACCTCCACGGGCAGCTCCGCCCTGGTTGTTGTCTTGTATCCGTTAGTACCTCAACTGAACATTGATGTGTTCCTGGTCGACTTACTCTGCTGGCCTCCGTTGGCGGCGTTGCCTCCGTTGGCAGCGTTGCCGCCGTTGTTGCCACCTCCGTTGTTGTTGCCGCCGCCGCCGTTGCCACCAACGGTGAACTTGTTGCAGTCATCCTGGGCACCACGCTGGGCGACGGGCATCAGAACGGGCTGATGGTTGGAAGCACTAGACATGGTGCAGACGCGGTAGTTTCCGGCGGGGAGACCTCCAGTGACGGTGGCCTTCAGGTTACCATTGCCATCGCCGGCATCGTTGATACCCTTGAAGAAGACAAACTTGGAAGCATCCAGGGGGGTGTTGGGCGTCAAGGAGTTACCCATATCCTGAACAGTGACGTGAACGTGGCCGATAATGGTGCCGCCGCCGCTAAGATCCTGGGGAGCCGAGTAGTAGGTAGACTGAGCGTCAGTGAAGGAGCCGGCTTGCAGGTTGTTGACCTTGAGCTCGACATCAAAGTCCTGGTTGGCCTGGATGTTGCCATTGTGAGGGGGGTTGTTGATGACGGTAGACACCATCTTGGTCTGGGCGGGGATCTTGCCCATGGGGATACCGTTGCAGGAACCGCCGGTCTTCTGCTCACCATCGGTGAGGGTAGAGCCGGAGCAAACGTTGATGAAGTTGGCATTGTCGCTGCAAAGCAGCTGGTTAGCGCGTTTCGGGGGTTGCCTGTGCTGTGTATGTGTAGATACTTACGTCTTCGAGTTGGCTTGTTGGGCGTTGGGCTGTCCGGCCTGCTGCGAACCCTTTTGCACCGCGTTCGTTTGCAAACACAGAGCACCGTTACCGGCGTTTGCATTTCCACCCTGGTTTGCGTTTCCACCCTGGTTTCCGCCTTGTCCACCACGGTTACCACCACGTTGTTGACGCTTGGCGAGGGCGGCGCTCAAAGGCGAGGCATCGAGGAAGGCGACGGAGGCCTCGGCGACGACGGCCATGCCCGCGAGGGCGGTGATGAGCTTTTGAATCTGCATCTTGTCTCTTTCTTGTTGATCGTTGGGGATAAATCCGAGGGAGTTGTCGACCGAGTCGCTATCAATAAAATACTAGATTGTCGTTCGAAAGGGGTTGGTTCCAGACCGAGGAGCGAACAAGAGTAGAGTACGAAAGGAACGGTCACAGACACCTGAATACGTAGCACAAGCTGAAAAGAAATGAATGAATGAATGTGAAGACACACTCCCAGCGTGAGGCAACAGGATGAATGGAAATAAAAGTAAAGGGTGGAAGGCGAAAAGAATGATCAAGACTGAGCGCTGCTGGGGATTAAGAAGGGAGAGGCCGAGACAAATATGCGATCAGTGCCAAGCTTTCAAGTCTTATATGCACAGGGCTGTGGTTGCAGGCTGGTGCCGGTTCGACCAAGGGGTCGTATGAACGGAGACAGGCTCCATGACGGCTTGGGGGGGAGGAATCGTCTCCACGAGTCCAAAACGCGGCGCAGGGGAGATGAGAGAGGAGGAGAAGGAGGAGACAAGGGCTGACAGGAGCCCGTCTGCAGACTACCTAGTACCTAGCCATACACCATACTACTGAGTATACCTTACGGATAGTACACGGCTCAAACTGTTGGCCGGGGGTGTGAGTACATGGATGTTGCTTAGCATCTGATCCCCGTGCGGGCAATTGGCAGGCCCGCAGTGGGTGACGAACCGGGGGTTGGGAAAAGGTAATGAGGGTCTGTCTGCTCTCTATGAGAAGGTGTCCGTGGAGGGATGAGAGAGAGACAAAGAGACTAGGTAGGTAGCATCTGTCTGATGAGATGGTATGCGACAACTAGTTGACAAGGGCAGACGCCTCCAGGCTCCGAGAAAGTAGGAGGAGGAAGAGTAGGGATGATGGATCGGGGGGTTGAGTGAAGAGACGGCAGAATAGAGATCTGAGCTTTGGCAGGGGTGGTCGAGTTTAGCTGCATGGATGGGACGGGAACGGCGACAAAGATGTTGGTCAGAGGCGTAGTGTATGAAGAGCCTCCGTAGTGTAAGGAACGGAGTAGTGTAGATGGGTAGAAAAAAGAGAGACAAGCTACAGATGAGCAGGGCACGTCGTTGTCCGAGACTGGGAGAGGGTGGGCACCCTTGACGGACGGTTCCCGACTTCTTCAGGATGGCAGGTAACGAAGTTGAGTCGAACAGGGCGGCTCGGGTAACGTCAGTGTGGTGTCTCTAGTCTCTGTGGCAGGTGTCTCCCACCCAAGTATTGGTAGGGGTTAAAGATGCGAGGCAAAGAAAAAAAGGTTGTTGGCTTCAGACGTGGACGACAGTAAGAGACTACACTACCTCACGCAGTAAGGTAAGAGTAAGGTATGGCAAGGGTAAGGATAAGGTAGTTGGAAGGAACCCCCCTTGTCCGGTGGTGGCTTGTGCCGTCGCGAGGTCTGGGAAGGTCTGATGCGGCTCCTGTCGTCGCAGAATGGGGTCATGGAGTCCCCACCTGGCCCCGGCGCGGCTTAGCGAGCCAATAGCGGGGCCTGCTGCCCGGCACATCAGGCAAATGGCGTTTCGCCCGAGGCGTCGATGAAGCGAAACGAGACACTGGACGACATTTTCGTGTCCTTGCCGTCTCTTAAGCGCGGTACTTTACGGAGTGCCTCGTCGCCGTACTCGGCCAACGTATCGTCACCGTCCACCATACCGACCGCACGAAGATGAGCTTGTAAAGCGCCTTCTCTCCACAACCACCCGCAAATGCTCCATTGCTGGCTATCTGAGCGAAGCCTCCTCCGTCCTAATTTCCCTGGAGCATTGGCAAAACTGGCAGTTCGCTCCTCGATGCCTGCCCTGCACTGTTGCACGTCAAGTTGCACTCATCAGCTGGCAGATTTGTGACCGTTAGGCCAACGTCCGTCAGGACAAGCATCTAACTATCCGTATTCCCCACGGACCGTTGGTACCCCAGTAGGCACGTAGTGGACCAATATGTGAGAGCCGCACCCTGTCGAGACAAATGGTACACTGAACTGCGGATGCGTATGCAACTGATTTTTGGCTCTTGAGCCATGAGTCGTCATGGGTTTAGCTTCTCATGCTAAGCCTTTGAGGATCGGCCATGATTTGCCTCCGGACACTGGCTTTCCTGAGAGGCCTGGCACGCCTGTATTAACGCCAAGACTGGCCACGCAGAGGCAAAGCTGGTGCTGTTTGCTGACAGCGCACACACATCATCATGTTCGTGATGGGGGTTCTTTTGATTGACGTTACCGCTTGAAGATCCCCCGAGCCGCGCTGTGTTTCTTCTCCACGGTGCTTCTGCGGGTATCAGCGACACGACAACGGTCTCAAGCTTGGCCGGGAGAAAGCGGCATTGTGGATGATTGGCAACGGACCGTTTAGACGGGTGAGACATGCCGTGCTAGTGCGACTGCTGGCCAGCTACAGCCTACAACAGAACATTAACATTGTCAGTCGACCGTCGGTTCTGGCGGTTCTGCCCATCGATCAGTTCGTGTCTGCAATTGCGCATTAGAATGGAAGCGCCCGTCTAATTCCGGTGGGCGAAATGCAACGCATCAACTCCACTGCATTTCGTTCCACTTCAAAGCTTGCCCTTATGGAATCTGTCCCGCAGATAAGGGTGGGATAGTGTATCGTGTGCCTCGTCTGCATCGCGAGCGAATGCCTCGTATCATGTATGTACTTGGCCAGAGGTGCACGGAGGCTTTTCGGCGGAAGGGCGGCGGAGTCCATCCAAAAACCTAGTTGTCTTTTCTGCCGTTTTGCAGAATGTGGAAGCAAACGAGAAGCACCTCGCATACGGAGTACCTAGGGTATGTACGTTGGCGTTGCTGGTCGGAATGTGGAGTTGGCGAAGCGAGCGGAAAACCAAGGTCAGCAGCGGGCGCGCAGTAATGATGGCATCAAACATCCAATAAACTTAATCTGTTATTCGGCAAGTTCGGATGACGGCAAGGCCCCCTGGGATGACCAGTCACGGTACCGTCGATTGTCGGTTTGAGAAAAGAGGGCGAGCAGCAAAGGGGTTTCCAGGGTGAGTGGGTGAGGGAAAGGGGAAAAAGATGAAAACTTGGACTCGTCGGTGTGGTCCACCGTACCTTACTGTGTGGTTGGAGCGCCGGGGATGATCTTCCTCCCGTCAAACGTTGAGTGCCAAGGAAACCCATGAAGTTGCCGAGGAAGGAGTTGAGGAGGATTCGTACTTGATGGATAGGGTAATGCAAGAAATTGGAAGGTGCGCAAAGGAATCGAGAAAGACACCACTCCGTACCGACCTACCTACCTACCTACTGCGGAACTGTGGGATTGGAAGGTGCGCCATCTCCTTTCCACTGGTGCCTCACCTTCCATTCCAAGATCAAAACGGAGGCACGTACCTACCTAGGTACATAAATCACCTTACCTCATCTACATGTATCGTTCCTGACACTTTCAATTGCGACTGGAAGGGAAGCGTGGTGAAGTGAGAGGAGGGCACCTTCCACGTCCCAGTGGGAGTGCCAAGCGCCGTTTACACTCGGTACCTGCAGCGGCCCAAGACCCGTGGAGATCCATGACTCCACTTGGGTCGCCAAAACGGGAAAGGTTGATTATCTCATCCCCTCTTACCACGTTTAAGGTTGTCCTTAGCATCCCGCCCGCCAGAAACCCGCCCCACCACCGCAGCCCTGGAAGAATTGCAAGGGGAAGGGGTGTCCCTTGTCAACGGTGTTGCTTCACCTCGACCCTCTCAAGTCTTTTCCCCCTCCCCCTTCTTCTCTCCCATGCCATTGTCCACCGGATCCTTGGATATCTGCCACCCAAACCGTCAACGACGACACCAACCAACCTCCCATCACCACCCTGCACCGAGTTCACCCCTTCCCCCCTTGCCCCCTCGTTCGTTGGGCAACCGGCCAGTCCTGCATCAGCCATCCGAGCAAAAGGTTAATCTGATCTTCCTCATGGCCAACCCTAGCGCGCGAGATGCTTATCCATGAGATGATGGTTTCGATTTTCATCTCGTCTACTATTTTCTGCTGTCAACCCAAGTGCTCGAGTCGAGAACTTTCCTTTCTGGGCTGCCAATTGTCGGACATTTTGCAAACGACGCTGAGTTTAATGCTATTGATCGTCCACACCTAAAATTGCCCTACAACGTTTTGCTCACTGCGCTGACAGATGCGCCATTGTCACCGTTGGAAACATATGCTCGGTCTTGATCCCGCCATTCAAACTTCTACTTTTACTTACGGATCCCAATGATACCACATCGCGTGGATGACTGTGCCGGATCTTTTGATGGGTACGGCCTGTCTTCTCGCCGATTGACACTCGAATGCGGCACCCACGGCCCACGGCACCACATGACGATGCTTTCGCGGCCTCGCCTGCGCCTGGAAATGAACGGCACGGCTCTACGGCTTGATGCTTGAAGCTGCATCGCAAAAGATCAACTGGCGAAACCTCGAATTTCCACAGACGCACCCAAATGACCGGCACCACAGCCGACGCCTCCCCCATATTCGTCTCATCCCTTCCGAGATCCCGTAAACGAGCAGATTGTTTCCCCCCTGAAGATGCCATCCAATTCCAACATCAATTAAAGGGCTTGTCATCAATCTTCTCTCATCTGGATCCGAGTCACCGGGGTTACTTACGGTGGACTCGTGGAGTGAGAGTGTTAGTGTGTGCAGCGCCCCTGTCGCGAACCTCCACTTGCGCCAAGGAGGCGCACCATCCTGCGACACGAGGCTGAGTTTGAAGCCTGTGCCAAAAATCCAATGGTGAAACAGGTTCACCTCAACTTCCGTCCATTTGTCACTTGAGCCAACCGGCGCAACCTCGTCTTCACCTTCAACTCGCAGGCATCCTCCTCGGATCCGGCATGCAGACCTGCCTTTCATCCCAGCTCGGGACGACGAGTTGAAACCCGTCGACTGTCACAGAGGCAAACGCCTTGCACTATCTATCGTCGCTCATTGTCTGCACCACGGTGACCACGCTCGCCCACGGCCCCAGTCACCCAGCTCCGTTGAACCGTCATCGCAAACTTGAGATGCAGAACCCGTGCCAATCCCGTTGCGTCCACTGCCATGCACACAGGATGCGCTTCTTCCGGCATCCAATCTCCTTGGACGTATTGCTCGCCCGGCTGCTCTCGGACCCCCGGCAAGGGCTGTCATCGAACTTCACTTGTCAGACGTCACCTATCATCCCAATTACTGTCCTTGACCGTCACGGCTAGACCTCCAACCCGTTCTTAGTCTGATTCCAAATTCTCCACCGCGAGAAGGAGAATGTGTTCAAGTCACGCCACTTTCTCGTAGCCAGGCAATGTTTGCCGACTACGCCTCTGGGAAACAGCTCTTCCATGTGAATCAAACTTGGCCGCCTCAGCCATTGCAGACACACTCTTTGCTGACGAAGGCCCGGCCAAGAATGTGTCGCGACCAGTGTGATCAACATTGTTCCGAGCCTTCTACCCAAGGCAACTTGGCAAGTCTGTGAGCTGCCGCGTGGCAGCTGTCACAATCTTTAGCTCTACTACGGCAGATGAGCCCAAAGTGAGCCTTGTTCCGTCATTGGACATGTCATTATACCAGCCTGGCATCCAGAGATGTTTGCGACTAGGCTCTAGGTCACGAAATCAAATACACAAAGTAGACCCCGGCAGGGCCAAGCTTTCACTGCATCAAAACACGTTTTGCTGTGTGATAAACGAGGGTCTTGTACAGGAAGTCGCGCGGAGCAAACAGCGCAACTTCCTTGGCGTCTCATCTCAAAATCTTACAAGTCTTCCATAACAGGTTCGGCCGTCTTCGCCAGGTCTTGGTATGCCGCGGCGATGAGGTCCAGCCAAGCAGCCATTCTCACACCCGCGCGGGCGACCTGAAGCTCAATCACAGGTGCCGCCTTTTGGAAGTACTCGCCGCTAAGTTCTTGGCCGACAATAGCTCGCGGCCCCTCTGGGAATACTAATACAAGAGTCAGTTTTGACGTCGCCCTTCCGGTTTGTGGGGGCTCGCCGATGGTTCGGGAATCAACATACCGTGGGTGCACACGAAAGCGTTTCCCTCTCTCGCCCACTCTAGGCCGGTAGCGTTGACGTTGTTGAAGTCCAGACTCTTCAGCCACTCTGCCTTTTGCGCAGCAAACTTTCCAGTCTTGACCTCGTCAGCAAGCTCATCCGCCCATTTCTTCGCGTTGTCGTAGGGCCTCCGACGAGAGCCTCCTATCAGCTTTTCGGCAATGGAGCTGTCCCAGACGTGGTGCAGGTTGTAGTCGGAGCCCTGCCACTTCACGTGGATGCCGTTGCCTCCCCGGGCCACATCTTCGTTGTGGAGAGGCTGGTGCATGTCGCCGATGAAGTGCACGACGAACCTCGCCGCCTGGTTGCGTTCCCACCCGCTCAGCTTGCGATCCAGAGACCGTGCAGTGTAGTTTGCGAGTGCCGTCACGACGCAGCCTTGGTCTTTGCAGTCCCGCTCAAGGTCGACGCCGCAGTATTCGGGCGGACTATCTTTGGCGTCGATAAAGTGGAAGGGCCCGGTGAAGTGTCCCCAGCGCGTGTACCGGATCGTGTCGGCCCAAGTGGCGACGCCGGCGAGGTAGTGCTCGGAATCATTTCGTAGCAGGTCCTGGAAGAAGACTTCGGTTGTGTTGGCGACAAAGTGGCTGGCTAGATACGCAGTCGCAATGTGACCCAGACCTGGTAAGTCAAGTTGGTCAGCGAGGCAACTCGAGGCACTTTGCAGCTCAGGGCCATTTTGAAGCTATCGTGGATGCAGGGAATCTATGACATACTTCCCCATGCGGCAACCCCGTGCAGCGATGCACCGAGCAGTGCGACAGTGCCCGAAAGCCTCATGATGGCTTGCGATTCTTATTGGTGAGTAGGTATGCACTGAGATGCGATTAGGCTTCACTGTTTTAGGACTGTAATCCGGGTCCGTCAAATTGACTGAATGACGACAAGCAAGACAGGAACAGGACGGACGCGCGGTTATATGAGAGCTTGACGCGTGGTCGGGTCACCTGTCTTGGGGACGGGAGCGATGCACGCCAGCTCACGTTACCTTGCAGGTTAACGTCAACACGGATGACTGGCGCTGAGCGGGCCGCTGGTGTAGGCGCCCGGCAGACGTGAGTTGGCCGAGGAACGCCTGCGCCGGGGTGCTCGTCCGTGACCATCCACACCCGGTGCCGCCTCAGCCACGGAGGGCGAATCATGGCGGTGCACGGGGGGAACCACGTGAAACACCACTTGGGAGGGGAATGCTGACGATCGGCGGATGTCCGGTGACTGTTGGAATGCGGAATCTCAGCCTATCTGATGGTGCGGTGCGCCTTTGCTCCTGTGATTGGAGACAGATTTTTAGACTTTAGGTGACGCCTTTCGCCGCATGCATTTGGGCATGTTATCTGGGCCATGCGAACGGTTCATCTCGATATTGGTGCAGATGCAAATGCGCAGAAGCGTCTTGGAAGAATTACATAAGCCCAGGTTGTCAGCGACAGTGACAGCTTCAGCACTCAGCTCACGTTAGTCATACTACGTACCCAAGGTAAGTTGGTGCGAGATGACCAAATCAGGCCTCTTTATTGGCGCAAATCTCTCAGCTCGACCATTTTCTCCGTCATTGGGCCCCTCCGAAAATAGGACCTCTGCGGCGGTCAACCCGCTCTGCCCGCGAAATTCTTTCCAAGTTTTCCTGGAGGGACCCTTGCTGGATGCTCAACCTACCCCCACTAATTGCCCTCTTCGTCAACCCGCACTCCACGACGCCAAGGCCGCTCTTGGTCTTTTGGTTATGTCATGCGGCGGCAGGGGTCTCTTATCGGTTGCGGTAAGCGATAAGAAATGCGATAACGGGGGAAAAAGCAGAATGCTGCACTCGGATTGGACGAGATGTGTGCGCTATCAGTCCCCTCTACCCGTGCCGCACCAACAATGTCTTGTCTGCGTGACTCTCCATCGAAGAAAACCATCCCACTTGACCCCATTCCAAAGCCCACCTGACCGAGGAACGGCACAAGAGAGAAGAGCTTCCCCTAAAACCTATCTGTCGCTGCGGCTCTTCTTACCCGTTCTTTTCACCTTTCACGTTCGTTATTGTGAGCTTCTACAAAGTCGCATATCGAAAACACACAATGGCTTCCGTCGCGGTTACGGCCTTTGCCGCCTTATCGTCCACGCCAAAAGTCGAAGAGGCCCTGTCGGGAATCTTTGGCAGCATCAGCTTGACCGCGTGGATATGTCTCCTCGTACGTCCCTCTCTCTGTTCGCAAAGGTCACGCGACCTCGGATCACGACTTGTTTTGCCTGCTTTCTCTGTCCAAGTAGACTGACCATGCTTATCTACGCAAAATAGCTTCCCCAGCTTCTCACAAACTACAAGTCGCAAAGCGCTGATGGCTTGTCCATGGGCTTTCTGATCATCTGGTTGATTGGCGACGTGACGAATCTCATGGGTACGCAGAAAACACCTCCTCCCCAGCTCCTCACTCTTTTTTTTTCCTGGCGCTTTCGCCAATGTTCCATGTTATCTGCACCTCGCGAGTTGTCTCCCACACCGCTACCCTTCTCCAAGAAAAAAATATGCGTCTCTTGTCATACCGAAAATTTCTCCAACCACCAACACCAAGACTACCAACGCCATGAAAAAAATTTAACCTTTTTGGCGCGTGCGTGCTCCCACTAACAACCACCCCCTCCAGGCGCTCTCTTCACCCACCTCGCCCCGACGGCCGTCGCCCTCGCAAGCTACTTCTGCTTCGCCGACCTCGTCCTAATCTCCCAATGCGTCTACTACAACACCAAGAACGCCCGCCGCGCATCCTCCCGCCGCCGCTCCTCCGCGCCCGTCACCGCCACCGGCGCGAGCCCGACCGAAGCACGGGAAGATGAGCCCCTTCTTGCGGCTGCCCCCCGCCGCCGTAGCTCGTCCGCGGCGGCCGGCCTCCCCGGCTCGCAGCGCCGTCACGCCCACCACGAGGAGAGCTCGCTCGACCCCCTGCGCAAGATGGTCACCGGCGAGGACGAGACACCCGACAGCAACCCCTGGCTCCACAACACGCTGAGCATCCTCGCGGTATACCTCGTCGGCGCGGCGGGCTGGTTCCTCTCCTACAAGGCCGGCGCGTGGGACGCTCCCGACAGCGACACCGGTGCGGGCGCGGGTTCCCCCGCCTCGGCGGACGGCACCTGGGAGAAGATTGGTCTCGCGCTGGGCTACTTTAGCGCCGTGTGCTACCTCTGCGCGCGCATCCCGCAGATTATCAAGAATTACAGGGAAAAGTCGTGCGAGGGGCTCGCGCTGCTGTTTTTCTTGCTGTCGCTTACGGGGAACCTTACGTACGGCGCGAGTCTTGTTGCGTTTAAGCAGGACCGGGCGTATTTGCTCAACGCGCTGCCGTGGTTGCTTGGGTCGTTGGGCACGATGGTAGAGGATTTTGTGATTTTTGGGCAGTTTCACATGTATGCGACTAAGAGGGAGGGCAAGAGGGATGATGAGGCGTAAGTGAGTGGTTTGGGTTGCTTGGTGTGTTGAATGCATGATGACGGGGTTGTGCTTTTCGCTCTGTTGCGATGGGGATGCGCGTTGGGGGTTTGCATGTTCACGGGTGTGGACTAGACGCATTTAGGATGATGGTGTGAGGGTGATGCTGCATTGAGAGGAAGTGTGGACTGTATCATTACGGTTCCTTTTTCGTTTTCCTTTTGGGGAGCATCTTGTGTTCGACACGGCGTTTACAGAGGTCTGCTTGGGGTTCATTGCATGGTTACGGGGGTTTCTGTTTCCAACCCATTTGTTTACCCATCATGATGGCACATGTAATGATAGCTTTTTTGCCTGTTCTTCCTATGGATTTGAATATTTCCAAGAAATTTTACATCTTTGTTGTTATGTTGATATCCTGTGATGGTGGTTGATGCGCTAGAGTCATGTAAGAGGTAAGGTATTTGAAGCCGATGATACCCGACTTCAGTTCCTCGCTCCAAGACTACGGATAGAGTGGCTTTTGAGGCTGGTGTTGGAAACGAGTGAACGTGACTTACATCCTATGTAAAGATCCCTTTTCTCCCGGTGACGAAGTTCGTGCGTAAAATCAAGGTGGGGGATAGAGATATGTTACGTAAGGAGAAGAGGAGAGGTACCGTGAGGTGAAGGCATGGATGAATGGATTGAGGCTCTGCTACCCAGCGAGAAAGGTGAAGGCTGTGCGGAATGGAGACGTGCTGTCTACGGCGGTCATCCTTGAGGGTTCGTGTTCGGAGTGCCGGAGTCACCGATGGTGGACGGTGCTTTGGTCGGGGTTTTCTATCCGTATATGATATGACGGCGAAGCCCGGACCCGCAGCCTCCGGTACCGAAATGGGGATCGGGAAAAGATTTAGAATGGGCGAGTAAGTTTGATAGATATCTGAGTTGCGTTGATATAGAGTGATGCTGGAATTCTGTGTGGTTTGGTGCGTGACCGGTGATCGTGGCCAAAGAAGGTCGTTCACTCTGAGTTCCTTAGGTTGGCAACGGGGTAGAGGAATACTATTGGAGTTAGCAACGAGTGATATCTGCTGTTAGAACCATATGACTGACATGACGGGAGTGAAGATAGAGCTCTGTCAACGGATGTTTAATATTACATGGATGTTTTTTGAGGAGTTGTCACCCTTTGGCTTCACGTTGGGCCCCGCGGGAGACGTACATAAGTAGGTAAAGCAGGTAGGGAATTTGGTGAATCGAAATCACATGCATTGAGAGCGCATCTACTAGCAGCCGGAAAAACAACCTTCGTCTCATTTCGAAAGGTAATGCTCAGCCGCTTGGCCGATTCGCTTACTAAATACGCGATCTGATGGTAGACAACAAACATATATCGGGCGGGCACTGTTCTGCGAGATCGACCGCGCGAAAGCCATCATCACACCACGCAAGCCAGTGGAATTGCTTGCCTTGGTCGGTTCGCTGCATATTGAAACCAAGAGGAGATATGCTCGGGCGTAGTCCCAGTGGTTGAGAATCGATCTGCCCGCACCAGGAAGCCGGACGCCGGACACCGCATCCCTCTTCCGATCACTGCCCGTCCTCTAAGCATAAGCTCCGAATATACCCCCAGAGACGAAGGGATTCGAAAGACACTATTTGTTTGGAGACATCCTGTCGGCGGTATGAGATGGTATTCGTTGGTTGCTATAGCACGCTCCCTTCAATTGACAACCTTGAGGACGCAGCCTCGTACTCGGAAAATCTCAGCGAGGAGAAGGATTTGGAGATCATCGAAGGACGCCACTTCAGTGACTTTGACCTTATGGATGAAGAACGCACGCTGCTGGTTCAAGGAGTTTTGTAATGAAACTCATTCTATCCATTTAATCTTACTCAGATCTCATGCCGAAGCTGGCCCGGCAGGCTTTCTAGCGTAGATTGAATGGCTGCTATCATCAGCCAAGGAACTGAAAGCACGAAGCGGGTTTGAAACTTACACAGGGAAGTACGCATGAATGCTCCGATCGCTAAACTCCTTGCGCACCTGCATCATGAGAATCAAGACCTCCTCTCTAGACCAGTTCAAGGCCCTGGTAAATGGTGCCATGCAGAAGCCCTCCCAGCCAGCAACCAGGTTCTCGTGGCACCATGCGCCGAGCTCCTTATGCCTGGCATCTTTAGCCCAGGGATTTGTCGGCCACTTGTATCTCTGGACAGTCACGTCCTCAAAGCCAATGTTCGTCAGTATCTCCTTGAGCGCCTGCGCGTTGTGGTATGGGCGACCGAAGAGGTTGGCGGCCTCCTCGAGCATGCGGACGGACTTGAGAATGGCGGAGTCTTCCTTCAAAGTGCCATCGTCGGACTGCGGGCAAGCATCAATCTCGTTGAGTTCGAGGTATCCCCCGGGGTTGAGATTGCTACCAACGTCATTCAAAGCTTCAGAAGATAAGAATCAACCGACTTACTCGAAGCAGGTTCGTGTATAGTCCTCCCAGTTCTTGATCGAAGATGTCATGACTCTACTGTGTATGTAGTCGAAAGGCCGGGAGTAGGTCCAAGTATCTTCAATGTCGTCAATCTCGAAGCGAACGTTGGGAGGGGTGCTGCAGGTTGTTAGTCACCACATCACAGTAGTTCGAGGCCCAGGATAAGACGGTAAGGTAGGGTAACTCACTAATTTGGCCATGCTGCAGACAAGTCGACGCCGAGAACCTGAGGTACTTCAGCATATTTGACTGATGTAAAGAAAGAACGTTCGATTTACCTCAGCTTCGGGGTGCTCGTCGCCAAAGTCAATTGCCCAGATACCAGTTCCCGTACCAATGTCAAGAACCCGGTGCACAGCTGAGGCTTGGGCATCGGTATTAGGTGGCGCAGTCCCAAGCTTGTTCTCAAAGGTGAGAAGAAACATGTTGTGCGTCAAGTCTATGTGCACAGGCTACAATTAGTCCACCAGAAGTCCTCGATATTCGGTGAATCGAATTAGTCATCAGCTCATACCGAGTCGATCGAGCTCCCGCTCATCATTGGGCATAGCGTATTCTACGTGAAGGAGTGAGTCTCGTATCAAAGTCGGTCGCTTTCACACAGCTCGATACTCACTGCCGTCTTTGTACTTGTGATATGTCCGACCATTCTCAATTCGATAGTCCAAAATTGAACTGTTCACACTCGTACTCGAGGAAGCCAGGCTCTGAATTGCTCAACATTAGTCATCCGGCTCACAAGAGATGTATCAGTTGAGACTAGACTGACGGGTCCAACTAACGATTCGCCGTCATCGTCGATCTACGAATGTTAGCGATATGATCAGGAAAGGCGATTTCCAAATGTCCCGACCTCATCGGGAAGAATAGTGCCGGTAGCATCATCGGTATTGTTTGGAGGCGAGTTAGGGGAAGATTTTGGAGAAGATTTGGGAGGAGACGATGCCGCCCTCGCAACCTCCTGAGCTTGAGACATAATGATGTGGATACAGTAAAGAGAGCCAAGGTTCTCTCTTTTCACCCTCTTATTATATGTGCTTTCCTCAAGGATTGCCAGCCATTCTTTACCCCTCTCTTGGCGCGTGATAACCATGCAGCTCTGCAGCACGCAAGCTCGGTTGGCGCGGTTTCTGCGGGACCATTTCCTCATGTGGAAGGCGAGCATTGTACAACCAACAGCAGACGAAACGACCAATGGCTGTGAGCATTATTTCCCGGGGTGTACGATTGAGTAATGCGTCAAGACGGTTCTGTATTTACTCAAAATCGGAGCTCGTTAGTACTATCCTCATTTCGAACGCCGTAACAACTTCGGAAAGAATCTAGAAGACATATTCCAAGACCATGTTCCGCAAGACGATTCTCCTCAAGCATTCTGAGGTCATTCCATATAACTTGGAGGATCCATGGATCTTTTACGGTCTTCAGAGACAACTGAGTACGGCCCGTCCAGAAACCTCTCCTTTCTCTAGCTGGGTCATGATCTCGGGAACATGCGAAAAGGAGAAGATATCTATAGAAGCCCTGATCGTGCCCTTCTCAGCTGCCTGAAGCAGTTCCGCCATTTGCTCTTCCGTCCCGACCATGGCCCCCTTGATTGTCAGAGCTAGTGCGAACGTGTCAGCCTTCGTCTTCACTTGGAGTTTGCGGCCCAGAGCTAGAGAACATACCTTTCAGGGCACACTGAGCAACTGAGATGGGCAGCTCGAAATCATTTCTAGGTAGCCCAACGCAAACGATTGTGCCCATCGACCTCAAGAGCTTTGGCGCAATTCGATAGGCGTCCTCTGAACCGGGAACAACGATGACAGCGTGAGCTCCCTCCCCGGTCAAAGTCATGATTGACTTGTCCACGTCCTCAGTTGCATAGTCAATGAATGCATCCGCTCTACTCTCCAGGTACTTCCGCTTCTCATCTCCCGTGTCTACCGCGATGACACGGAAGCCCTTTAGCTTCGATGCGATTTGCACTCCAAGATGACCGAGCCCTCCTCCGGCGCCTTGGATTACCACCCAGTCGCCTCGGGATAAGTCATGGTCCAGCATCGAAAGCGCGCCCATCATCGTGAGACCCGCGCAAAGCAAAGGTCCCGCCTCCTCGTCGCTCAAGCCCTCCGGTATCAAGGTTAAGTATCTCGAGTCCGCGACGACGTATCGCTGTAGGGTTCCGGGACGGTGTTTGCCGGTATTCAACTGCTTGGAGCAGTTATTGGGGAACCCGCGCGCGCATACGGAACACTCTCCGCAAGCGCTGTAAAGCCACTTGACTCCAACCTTCTTCTTCAAGAGTGAATCTGAGACTTGTTCTCCTAGTTTCACGACTCTGCCGATACCTTCATGGCCCACGATGGGATCGTAAGCACCCCAACCACGGAGCGCTCGGACTTCTGACCCGCTGCAAAGGTGATCATGGTGTTAGAAATGTCGAGGTACGCGAGGAAGTTGGTTTTCTGTTAACTTACCACAATCCAGTGAATTCAAGTTGGACAAGAACTTCAAATGGCCCGGGGGTTCCGACTGGGACATCTTCCCGGACAACGACCTGTGCATCAGGGCCGGGGTTCTCAAAAAGAACTGCTCGTTGCAGTGTAGGAATATCGGAGCTCATCTTGCTTAAAGGTAACGTCGTAATGAGATATTTGGAAAGTGACTCTAGAATGTGTCAAGTGGACGTTGGGGTGGTCACTAGGGGGTTGGATCTCCCACGGAGTTTGTTACCTCGGGAATAGTGGGGTGTACCCCGCGCCGGGAACACACACGGCAGTCAAGAAAACGGGAATAGTGGATCACACCACGGACCATGAACGGCGCCGGTTAATCGGTAGATCGCTACGTTGAAACTCAATTAACTTCATGCAGTTGACTTTGACTTATAGAAACTACACGGCCATTTTCGCTCCACAACTCCTTGCTCTACCAAAGTAATACCATCAGCCACACTCCTTTCTTCTCTCAACACACTGCCTACATACCTAGATGCGAGTAGATGTAAAAGCTTAGCAAGTCCAGACGTATGTGCACTTGGTGCCAGCAGGGACGCAGCCCGTCTTTCCCGCGTTGCCATCGCCAGAAAAGTGTCCGTTCTGGTTGCCGCAGACCAGTGTAGGGCTGGTGTACTGTTCGTCGATCTCGCACGTGAGGTCGTTGGAGCATGTGCCGGAAAGGTTCCAGGTCTCCGCGAGGGCCAAAGGCGCCAGGAGAGCGATGATAGTGAAGAACTGCATCTTTAATGTCGGTGAAAAATAATGGACTGGGAATTGTCGAGAAATTGGAACCAGGAGCTGAGATTGGGAATGATAGTGTAGGTATTCCGACAGATCAAAGGCTTTCTTGCAACTTATAAATGTCCTATTGTTCTCCTTTTTTCTATCTTCGCGCATTTTACTCAACGTGAATCTCAATTGCTAAGCGGCCTTCGAGACAGCGTTACGATGCGAACCATTGCTGGGAACACCAGGAGCCTGACTCGTTCAGGTAGATCATCATTTATGGTGTAAGCGAGAGGTTGTAAGAGGTGAGGGCCCTCAAGCGGGTTTACGTCTGTTGAAGCTGACTCGCTGGTTCTTTGACGGACATCAGCCGCAGGGAGGTACGCGTACCGTGGGATCCACCTCATCGTCAAGCATTCTGCTGGGTATATATCACCATGGAAGCGACTGGGAATATGACCTCTCCACAATGATCAAAAATCAGATAATTCTTTTTTCAAGGGGATTACTTCACGAGCCGAAACAACGGCCGTGAAATACGACGTATACGGAAGCTCCCAACAATTTCGGATTATCGGCTAGAGGTTTGGATAAGACCCAGAAAGTCGAGCGTTCAATAATCGCTGTTTTGACATGACAGTTGCTTGCTTGATTACCATCGTATCCAGTACGACAAATCCGCCGTACGATCGGAATCAGGAATGCTTGTATAGCCTTGACTCGCTTCCGACCCATCTTCCCGGTGGGAGACTTCCCTTATTGCCGCAATCCCGTATAGAAGATGAGGCGTGGGCATAATTTGACCAAACACACGTCCCTGGAGGACAACAAAGGAAAGAACAAAACACACCGTTCCTGGTCTCCAGCAATGGTCAATGATGTGTTCTTAAGGCACTGGAAGTTTCGTCAATAGAAGGCACAGTGGATCACCTACCTACCTCTTTTCCTATCTCCCCGTGCCCAATCGGGGACTCTTGCATTAGGACAACTCATGTCGTCTTGTCCCGCGTGTACTGCACAAAGAGGCCTGAATGCAGCAACGATTGCACAAGTAGACTTGTCATAGAGTCCCTATGGCCTATTTTTCATGAAGAGCTCACAGACTCAAGTCTATCCTTACAGAGTCATGAACAATTGCTCGCTGTGGGTCAAGTTCGGAAACCCCCCACATCCGGCATGCCGAGTCGCGGACGGCCGAAGTGGGAGGGAGCAAGCCGGTAGTCCGAAAGTCACAGAGGGTAAGCTCCTTTTCTGAAGTTAGCAAAGGAAGGAAAAAAAGAGTTCACCTCGGTAAGCTACATCTCTCGGTGCTCATGCTGGGAATCTAACTCATAGCCTGTCGTTGAGTAGGCTGTGGGCGTAGTTGATGACCTTGAACTACTCCACCACCCAGCCAGTTTGACCTGACCTGTCGACCTAGACCGGCGCCTGCTGGCGAGTGACAGAGATGGGATTGAGAAGGGGTATATAGGTTTCCTGTACATTCAGGTGGAAAGTAGGTCTAGATGTTTCCCTATTAGGTCCATATGAGTATTCGGTAATGAAGCCTTGAGTATTCCGTTAACAGCGAGACATCAACCTCTGGGGCTCTTAATTAGGCAGACAGCACATTCGGGAATATGCCTGCTAACAACGGGCACTTCGCCCGATGGAATATTTCAATATCACATATTGCTTGGAAAAAAACGATGACCAGAAAACCAAGGCAACCGGCATTTCTATTGTTCATTCGCTCAAGAGCTAACGCTCAGAGTAGGTTGAGAAGCTTAGGCTGGCTATTCGGTTCAGCATCTCAAGAGGTTGTCGTATTGTCTCTTGAATCTATGGCATAACAACCACCTGAATGGGGTTGTATGCTTGTGCCAGTTCACTGCTCTCTCACGCTCGAGACCCAAAGGCATTAACAGTCCTACCACCCATACTAATACACGCCCCCCTCTTCCACGAATTATTTTCATGATCAGCATACCATGGACCACGGAGCTCCTGGCCCACGATACACCCCTTGGTGGAGTAAAAGTACGCCTTCTGGTTATAACCCCCATAGACCTCGACCCGGACGGACATGGGGGCGAAATCGGTGGTAGCGCAGGTGTTGTCGTAGATGTTGCGTCTCTGCGAGGTGCCTCCGCAGTTCTCGCCTTTATACAGAGTGAGAACATAGCCGGACGTAGTGGAGGCAAGTCCGAGGCCGACGATGAGCATAGATGAGAGCTGCATTCTCGTTGATATTATCGTCGTCGTTGTTGAGGTGGCTATAGTTGGTCTAGAACAACGAAAAGAACAAATATCTAATGAACTGGGCTTATGTCGTCTTGAATCGCTAACTTACTGACTTGATGCTCAAGAGAGGGCTTCGGTGAGAAGATCAGAAAACAGTTGTTTGATGTTGTGATAAACCTCTCGAGAGGGATCATGACTCTCTCTTTATACTCAAGAATGTGAACTTACAACATGGTCCTGACAAGATCAACGCCAGCGGGATTTACGACTACATCGAGTTATTATCTAGTATAGTAACTGCAATCGTACACGATTTCCAAATCTGCGACACCTTTTTGCCCGGGATGCGTGGGACTTGAAATGTCACGAGATCTCCAAGCCTTCTGGATCGTCGAAAACTGTGTGTACTATGACCTTGGATTTCCAATTAGGGCTGATATGACTTGGCATCTGACATATGCTTACCTCATTGCTGTATTTCCCTTCGTGATACTGAGACCTGACATGCAGGATTATACTGAGACAAAGAGGAAAGTAT